GAGCTGGTACATGATAGAGAAAAATATGGTATTTAACTTCAATTGACTGCTTCTGATCAGCAACTTATTCGCCTTCAACTCTGTCCAGTTGATGTAATAAAATACTTTTAGGTTCTCCATTAGAAGAAAGAAAACGACTTATCAAGTACTTAACCACCAATAAAAATTCAAATAAAGAGTGTGATGTAGTGGAATTAATAGACAATGATGTACCAGTGCTGTGTAAAATGAATGCTATTGAAGACTCATGTATTGTGCTGTACATGAGGTTTGAATTACTTTTTTGCATTATTTCAAAGTTCAAATGTATCAGTTAACACTTGTGTATGAAATCACCATCCATTTTTAGATTTATGAAGTAATCACTTGCAGCTATCGTCAGCTGCAGAAAATGGATAACTTTAATAATTTTTTACCCTGCAGGATTTGGTTTTTCACGCCAGTGGTACTGAATCAAAAGTAATAATTTTTCCAATGTTTCCTGAAAATAAATATTTAATTTTAATTATTTCTTTAGTGTTTTTGTATTTTAGGCTGACCACTTCTGCGAGTGTGTATCCATATGGCCTTTCACCATACACTTCAAAAAATTTGACAGTTCCTGACTCTTCTACAAAAGATTCGTGGTCGCTAATAACTGTCAAAGATTTGCTAAATTTTGTTAATCAAGAGAAAATTCACAAACTCGTTTTGGATTTGGATGGTGGAGAGTGGGATATTTTCCCTGCACTGCTGGAAACAGCGAAAGTTCAAAATAGCGTTTCAAATCTGGAGCTGAGAGTTCGGTACTCACATTTAATTTCTTATATTTTGTTACATCTATAAAAATAATCAAATTGTCTGTCTTAACAGCTTCAAGTAATTGAGGGTTGTTATAGATTTTGGGTAGGTGAAGACAGCGAGAATTATCGTCGTATCTTGATGTATTTCTTGCGACTTGAGACTCTTGGATTCAAGAAAATGTTTGGAAAAATGATTGACGCTACTACGGCCGTTGTTGCCTATAAGAATGAATGGCAAGCTAGAGATGCTATAACTGTTTAAGATATGGAGCTGATATTACCGGTTTTCGTATATACCGAAGAATTAATGACAAAAAAGTAAAGAAAGGATCGTCGGAATTGTAAGCAAGTATGATATTTCAATTTTTTGGTTGAGAAGTTATTGGTTCGAATCTACATTTTTGTAGATTTAGAATTTTCTTCTGAAAATTAAGCTGAATTTGGTCATAGCGATCAGGTATTGAAATGAGCAGAAAAAGATTTAGTTGTAGTGACAAAAGTATGAGACCACAAATCGTTTTCAGAGATTTGCTTTTTGGCTGCTTGTAATAAAAAACTGCAAAATTAGACGTCAGAAATAGTGATTAGGAAGTGTTTTAGAAATTTCGATCGCGAATATAGTTTAATTTTCATGTTGTGATGTTTCTGCTTATTTTTGTAAGTATGTGTTAAATAGGTTAAACATTCTGATTTTTATTTCAAAAAAATTTTTCAAAATTAAACTTGTTACTTTTTCTCGTTGTTACCAGATCTGTTATTGCAGCAACTATATTCACATTTTTTTCAAAGATAATTCGTTTAGGTCATATGTTACTATTTATTTATCGGTTGTAATTATAGTGCCTTTCGTGTTTTAAATGTTGAAAGTTGATTTTAATGTCTTTGCTTTTAGATATGAGAGATTTCTCTATATTATAATAATATAGGTAATTACATATCTGGAAATGATTAGCCTGCTTTTACAACTTTTTAGGATAAAAATTTTTGTGTTGTTGATGAAGTAATAATCATTTCTTGCATATTAATACCTCTGTGATAGCAAATTATTGCATTCAGTTGTAACATGTTAAGGACAAAAAATGAATTGTCAGGAGCGCTTTAACTTGTAAGCTCTTAAAAGCACAGAATGTTTCTTTCACTGATAGAATGCAATAGAAACAATAGTATATGCGTTTTTATTCAGTTCGAGATGTATTTTTGTACATCCTACCTATCTATCTTTTATAATGTTCCTGCACGTTCTCTTATTCGTGTTTTCATCCAGTTAAGTTTCTGGCGCTAAAATAGGACTTTTACTGCTTATTTAAGTAAGCTTATCATTAGTGTATAATTCGTTGCTTATTATGGTATATTTTATTAGTTTTAAGGATAGATAAAGACACCGGCCGTCATTCGTTTTTAGAAAGTGGTGGTTTTTTTCTCATCATGCTTATGAAGAATTCCCAAGCTTGTTTGTATTTCTTTCTCACTGCAGCAATTTTGCCATTTTGTCAAGGTTCGATTATTAATTTCTGATCAGGGATTTATTCAAACAAAATGCAATATTTTTGCTTGGTATTCTCTTGCAAGACTTTGTAGATTTGCAAGTATTATGGCTACTAAGATCTAAATGGTTATAATTGATCAAAATACTAAACTTTTGTTCCATTGCTCTTATTTTTAGCTGAATATTCACCAAATACCATATATCAATTTCGAGTTCGTGATGCTAGTGGAGCAGAGGTTTCACTAGATCGATACAAGTATGGGCTTTGTTAATAAATCATACCCTGAAAATAAAAGAATGGGGATCAGTAGGAATGTATCTTTTAGATTCTTCTTGGAGAAATTATAAGTGTTTTCTTTACTGATCTTGTGAAATAATTTCTTTCGTTGCATATAATTTTTAGACTAATAATATTCAATGTTTTCAAAAAATGGCCGTCATGTTATTATAGAAACAAAGTGCTTCTGATAGTAAATGTAGCATCACAATGTGGACTAACTCAGTCTAATTATGTTCAGCTCAAAGATTTGTATGATAAATACAAAATGCAGGGCTTTTCAGTAGCTGCCTTTCCTTGCAACCAGTTTGGCTCGCAGGTAATCACTGTGTTTTTAAATTCAAAAAAAAAAATTATATTAAAATTTGAAAACATTGAGCATTATATTTCAGTTATATAGTTTTCACCCTGCTTCGAAATGACATTTTTAGGAACCTGCGAACGAGGAGGAAATTAGACGTTTTATCAAAGAAACATTCAACTTTGAACCAGATTTGTTTGCCAAAATCAATGTTAATGGGGCAGAAGAACATCCGCTTTATACTTTTTTAAAAAGTCAAAAAAGAGGTGTTCTGGTGGATGAAATTAAATGGAATTTTACTAAATTTCTCGTTAATAGACGCGGCCAAGTAGTGAGTTAAAATTTCTTATCTGCATCAGCTCTATTTGTGTTTTAGTGCTGTTTTTTAACGTCATCACTAAACAGCATCATTCTTTAGAATGAATGGCTATTAATGACGTTGTTTAGTAGTACCTTTCGCTTTCATATTGAGCGAATTTAATGGTTTTTCAGGTAGAAAGATATGGGCCAACGACTCAACCGAAAGATATAGAAGCTGATATTGTGAAACTTTTAAAAGAACACTCCGATCTATAGATTTTACCCATGCCAGTATTTGAAATAAACGTTTCTACTTTCTAGATGAAATTTTAGGTGACAGAATTCAAAGCTTAAAAAAATATATGCACTTATTTTAAGAAATTATTCAACATTGTATATCTTTTATTCTTTTTTTAAGATTAATTTCTATGCAGTTCTTTCATTTACATGCTTATAAAGTCTTGAATAAGAGTGATTCTAAATAAACTTTCATAGGATAATAATTTATCGATTTCCAGGCTCTATCTGGCAGTTACTATCTGTATTGTTATACTACGAAATTGGCATTTTCATTCTTTAATTCTTCACTTTAGATTCTTATTACTTATGAAGGTTTTGCTTATTGAGAGTCTCTAGCGTACTATTTTTTGATTTTATATTATATCGTCAAGGCTAGTATAAACTTGTCAAAATAAAAATAATCAAACTTTTTTGGTTGTTCTTAATGTCAGCTTTTATCTGAGAATCAAAATATAAGACTAAATTGAAAGTATAAGAGTTGTTGTTATTTTTATGAGAAAATGGAGCAACTATGGATGGATTAGAATCGCTTGAAGCTTGTTTTTGTTCAGGGTATTCGAAGGCAAGATTTATTTAGTTTCGTCTTTCCGTCATTAATTAATTTCGGGTAACTGTTTAGAAATTAAAATAGTCTTTCTAGAAATGCTCTGTTTAATTTTGTTTGGCGTTGAAGATTGTATTTTAAGAAGAGCCATTTTTCAAAACTTATAATTGACAAAGTTTATTTTATTTCCACTCTATTTTCTAAATGATTTAAAATCTGCCGCAAAGCGATTAAGAACTTAAGTCGTCGTTTTAGAAATTTTTTTACTATCATTAGTATTTTTCTTTTATAAATATTGTTTCCTTCATGATTATGCAGTTTAGGGTATTGTCGAAAGAAGATTACTGGTAATGGGAATCAGTAATCATTATGCGTAGAAATACTGATTATCATAAAACTTGCTAGTATGTACTTTGGTGCAGTTTTGAATAAAGTTTTGGTTATACGATAATCATACTTTTTTAAAATTGGTAAAGATTATATGATATGTTGAGATTTTTAAATAAGACGACAATGATATAATTACATGATATAGTTTAATGATATAATGATATAATTACATGATTTAATTACATGATATAATTTACAGTAATATTTTTGGAAATTATTTGTGAGGAAAATATAACGTCAGTTGATTATAAATATTTAGTATTCTGGAAGGAGGCACGTTGAGGCTACTTTGTTTCAGTTTGTTTATTTAGCAATACTTATTTCTATCACTTGCATTTAATTTGTAGAATGAGCTTTCTCTCAAAATTGGTAATGTAAAGCAATAATAGACATTTTCTCTATAGATGGTATCATCTGATCATTATTTGAATACTTAAAAAATGGCCGGTTATTTAAATTTTTCCGCTTTTTCATGCCGGCGTGAGATTGAGAAAGAACTGATTTTCCCTCGTCAGGTTGTAATTTTAAAAGTGAACTAATTTAATCCTGGAGTAAATAGAGTTATCCACTTTATAGTGTTACACTTTTGTGTTATGGTTATCTCATTTTCGAGACATTGCTGTGTACGAGTATTAAACCATGTAGTTGACTGATTAGAAAGTCGCGGTTATCAAAATTGTAGTTGATTACTTTAAAACATTGAAAAACTTTCAGATGCAATGTTCTACAGTAGATCTGATATTTAAATGTAAAAAGTTTCCGATTGATTAATGTCAAAATGTATGGTCGACAGGTTGTTATGCATCTTCGATTTTGTAATTCAGTAGTATTATGGAGATCAGACAAGTCGCACTACCACAATACGGTATTCAAATCTTGTTTACATTTTGAAAATATTCATGAAAGTTTTTATTTCTCTGATGTTTGAAATTTAAACTATTGAAGTCGAGGAGAGGTTTATTATTACTTAAACACAATTGTTACTGATCACTGATAAGCATTTAAGAAGCCTATTTCTGACTTTTATGCTAGTATTAACAATTATTGTAGAAACGTCGAAGCCAGCAATTTAATTTCGAAAATATTATCCGTGATTTTACTCAGCAAACTACTGCTACAAAAACAAACTATAAAATCAAGGTGGATTTAACGACTTTTTCTACATAATTTTCTTCAATCTTAAAATGTAGTTCAGTTTTTTTATCGAATTATTTAGTCATTATTTAACATTTTTGTAGATTTAGCAAAATCTCGTTTGTTTGGTTTGACAAAATTTCGTCTTTATTTTTTTGATTTTATTTTTTCGCATTCAGTTCCTACAGATTTTTATTGTTGAATATATGCAGTTTGCTTCCTCGTTTTATATCTATCACTTCATGCAGCTGGTAATTTTTTCTTTAAGACACTATTACTTTATTTATTTTGTAATCGTCAAAAATTAATTGCAGAACATCCAACAACCGATGTCATCAGCTATAATCACTGCGGAGAAATGCACAAGGTCCGAAATCATTGAATTTCTTGTAAAATATGGACTTCCGTTTAGTCTAACTGTAAGTTTTTCAATTGAAATCTTCAATTAAACGTAGAATAAATATATGACATCATTAACATATATTTCAAGTCCTTCTATTCTGAGTTTCAGTCACTCATATTTTAGATAACTGTAGATAATATGTTGGTTTTCATAACAAATGGCACGCTCTGCTTCATTCTATCAATTCAGAAAATTGGATGATCAAAATTTATCAAAATTATTTATTCAGCCATATATGGGAGATGTTCGTACAAGATGTCTACATTGCAAATCTCTGGATACGGCTTGCATATCTTCTCGAGATAATACTATTACCTGCACCACATGTGGTTATACAAATAACTTTGGTGAATTTAAGGTATTTTTTTTTCTTGCGTTGTCCATTTGTGTAAAAATGGCTCTGCAGCATTCTTGCTTTGCCACATTACTTATCATTACTATTACTTTTTTATTTTACGAAAATTATTTGATTTTATTAAAATAAAATGTTAAAATAGTTTATTTTCCTTCATTCTAACATCTTCTGAAATTCGTGCTTTAATTGAAAGTTGCCTGCTATTTAAAGTTTCGTAGGAGTATGATTACCTTCATGCCAGTTTATTATTTTGCTCCCAATAGTGTAATACCAACTTTCGAAAAAATGAAAAATCTTGCCCATTCAATAATAATCAGTGTTTGGAAAATTGCACATGCATAAAGCAAGGAAATGATGAATCTGATTCAGTGATCACGAAAAATTGATTTCTTCGAATTTTTTTTTAAAGTGATTATTTTAATCTTTTACGCTTTTTGATTTTTCTTCCAATAATCGGTCACATGATACTTGCAGGGACTTTTATTCTCATAAACTAACTTCTTTTGCTCGAGTACGGATTAAAACAATTGTGGATCCATTTTAATTATGAGCGAAAGAAATGCCATTATTAAGAATATTCAAATTTTTAAGCTTAAGGTAAAAATAAAGATTATCTCGAAATGACTCCATTCAGTAATAAATGTGATAGACATGGATTTTCTTTAAAGTCAAAGTCATTAGTATGGGTAAAGGCAAAATTGCCTTTGCATATAATTTTAGGTTATAAATCATTTGCATATGGAAAGTAAGAGTGTGTGCTAACTAGAATAACTATTTATTGAGGATGTGTATATTCGAACTTCAGCAAATTTCCTTCCATATTCAATGAATACATATTCTTACTTTTTTCATGCCATCTGTTCGATATTTCAAATTTTAATTTGAATTGATAGGTTATTTATATTTAGACCAAATTTTCTTATTCAAGTTTTCATTTCATTGCAATATTTTTAATTGCACTAAAGACTTTACCATTGAGTTATTCAAAAATGACGTACATTTTTTTAGAATTATGAAAAGGTGTTTTTTGGTAAAAAATGAGTTATTTAAATTTTGTGCACTTTTAAACATTTTATGGTGGCAGTTTTGAAAATGTAAAACCAAATAATATGTTAATGATTTATTTTAAACAATATTGTTTTGTAACGTAAAGTGTGGTTTTAGAGGTATGAAGGAAGCGGTAGTAATGCTTAAAGGTACTTACTTATATGTGAGAGAGAGGGAAAGCATTGAGACACTTCACTGAGCACATTTTATCTTTTCCGGTGCTAAAATTTGTATTCAAAATTGTTGAGCTCAAGCAAGCTGCAAATATATTGTGATATTGTTAAATCTTTCTCATCTTCTAGACTATTTGCTTGAGTAAGAGTGTTAAATTGTAAAAGGAAACTCATTTGTAAATTCTTTTTTCTATTATTTGCTTTTTTTTTAAAGAAAACATTGCATGAGTTGAAGATAATTGGGAATATTTTCATTTTCAAACCAAATTATTGCTTATTTTTTGCTTTTTCACAAACAGGTCTATTTGAATAGAATGGATATAGCTAGCTGCATTGCATAGAAAAAGTAAAGTAAGCAAACAGAGTTCCGTATTTTATTTCTGTATTTTTCAAAGTACTACAAATTTGAATATCATTATTACTTGATCGATATGCTAATTTTTTGATTCCTTAAGTAATTAATAATTAAAGATGAAGTAAATTATAGGAAATAATGATCGTTAAAGTTATTGGATATTGTGATGTTATATGAAAAAATTGTTTTGCAGAATTTGATCTCACGAGACGTGAAGGAAGCATTAGTGGAAGAAAATAAATCGCTTGCTGTACGTCCATTACTGCAAAAGGATCCAAAAAGTGGCGTTTGGAAGTACGTAACAACGTTACAAGTGTCTCATACTCAAGAGTTGAATCATTTAATGCAAGGAGGAGAGAAACAAAACAAGCATCAGTTACCTGCCATGGATGATGTAAATGATATCAGTAATTACTATAATTCTGAACAATATTTGAGTACAAAAATATTTTTATATGGTCAGTGGAAAAGAGTAATTTTACCGGTGTTGAAGTTCACTTCAAAGAAGTTTTCAGCTTGATTCTGATTTGTATGACAGAGTAAGTTATCTGGACCTTGTATCACAACATGAAGAAAAAGAACGATCAAGAAAAATGAAGGAAGCTGAAGATTTCCGTCTTTTACGTGAACAGTAAGCTTTTTACGTCTTGTTATATTTCATTGTAAATGATATTAAAGTAACGATTATAACCTGTGGTTTTTTACTCGTTGACTAGATACAAATCAGTACCGATTTTAATGGTCTGTTTTAAATCCTAAATGACCACTTTTCAAGTTTATTGTTACCTAATAATATTATGTAACAAAATTGAATAATTTTATATCTCCACAATACACGTGATGTTAAAAATATGCTTTTTTTCTAGGGGATTGTTTATATTTTAGATGATGTTATATATATATATATTACATGGGTAACGTTTGTGTGTGTGTGTTTTTTTTGAAGCAGAAAAAAAGTGAGCAAAATCTATGACTGTTGTATGTTTTTTATTTCCTGGGTTAATTTGTGGATTAAAATTACTTCTCCTTTCACTTCTGCTTCACTTGCTAAAAAACTGTTCACTAGTAGAGTGTTTACTTTTGGTGGATAACCAATTATGCCAAGCTTTATGCTAGCATGTAGCCCAGCGATGATTAAGCTATTTTTTTTCCGCTTTCTGTCTAACTTTTTTTTTTCGATTTTTAAGAGTAAGTAATTCACTGCTTTGACTAATAGAGGTGATAAATGGTCCACTGAGAAGTTCCTGGTTTGGAATTAAATGCGTTTTCTGCTTTTTATAATCATACCTTTTGCATTACATTTTTTGCCTATATACTTTCATATTGAATTGTATTACTAAAAGGTTACTCGTTCATTTGGATCATGCTAATGCATTCATACTTCATTCACTACTTAATTACAAAACAAAGCAACATATCAGTCTTTGTAATCAATCACTTGTTCGAAAAGTATTCCACATAATATCATATTTGGCTATGGAACTAATTTTTGAGAATATATATGTAGATGGATAGCTTCTGTTAATTATTTTTTGGTTCTGCCTGAGATAAGTGAACTCATATCTAGTAGAGTACTTTTTAGAATTGAGAAGTTGTTGAAGTGAAAGCTGCATCCAGACTAAGTAAATAAAAAGTAAAGATGAAGCAAATAATTTAATTTGTTCCATTGATCACGAAGATGGAATCAATGTTTGGTTTTATATGATAAAAAATTTATGCTTTTATGGTTAATTTCTTCATAATTTTTCATGTATGACTTTTTACTATTGTATTTTTGGCAAAGAATTACTGTATGATTTTACAGAGCAGATAAGATAGCTCTACATGGAGTCGAAAACGATAGTGATCAAGAGCAGTCTCCAAATACTACAGGCAATTTTTGAATTTCTTATGCATAACAATTATTGCTTTTTGCTAAATTGAGCAATAAATTTTAGCTAATAAGTTTTTAATGTATATGCGATTTTATAATTATTTCTAAGCTAACTTTCTGATTTGTTTTCGCTATATTTTATTGCATTTTTAAAATTATAGGTCATAAATTTGTTCGTTTGAACACAATCAATTCTTTTAAAGTATGTTAAGTTAATAAGTTAAATGATATTGTTTCAATTATTTTTGATTTCAGGTGATCTTTTGAATATGTCTTCTGATCCAAATCTGCGATTGATATGGGCCGAGGCTGTAGATTTGCATGAATTAAAAGGTCACTCTGACCAAAGCGAATTCCTTATCCTTAGAAAACTTCTGGGTATTGATGTTGGTGTTTTCACTTTCATTCACTTTTATTAATTTCACATTTATGAAAGACTTGCGAACTATTGCACCATAATGCGCCTGTCATAATTTGTATTATATATTAAACAAATTATATGGTAATAGGTTTTTAACTATTACTATTGAAAATTTTCAATATATTTTCTCATTTGCTGGAATGAGTTTACAGTATAGATTATTCATTTAAATTTAATTATTCAAAAAAATTCGGTCGACATGAAAAGGACGCAGCTTGTTAGAAATTATTCAAATTTTTTATCTCGTCAAATTCTTTTATTTTCAGCGCATCTCATACGATACTTTGTCACGATTTTATATTAAAGGTCATCTGGATAACTTTGGGAAGCCTGCACTTTGTTATCCTAGATATAGAGGTATTTATTATGTTTCTTTGAATATAATGATATTTTTAAGCCATTTTTTTGTTTCATTTTTCCCTTCTGTAGGACCTAGTAGTCGTGTGCGATTACCAGCAGGATTGAAAGTTATACGAAAAGTTGTAGGTGATCGTCTGGAAAAAGAAAATTATCCTGAGCCAGAAAATGATGGGTGAGTAATATTTGTAATTTTTAAAGCTGTTTAATGCTTAGATTGGGCGTTATTGTAAGAAAACCTTTTTGGTTTTCAAATTCTGTGAGATGGATAAATGTAAATGAATTTTTTATTTGTAAGTGAATGTTATATTTAGTTGGACATATTGACATGGAATGTTTTAAGGAATGAAGAAACGAAATATTTTGTTGAGATACTCAAGACATATTTTTTAAATAGTTGTTGATTATGTGTTTACAAAAATTTTAAATTTTTTCGTCTTTCAGTTTGTGATTTTATAGGAAAACATTATTTTCGGGTATTTTTGGTTATCACATGGTGACAGCATCCGACCGACGTATTGTGCTTACAACAAATGAACGTGATGCTTTAGCTGTATTTGAAGCTACTGGTGGAATGTTGTGTATAGCATTGCCAAAAGGCGAGCAGTTAGATACAAGGTGGAATTTTTGAGGTGTTCTCTGATTATTAAAGTTAATTTTATTAAGTTTCGAATGAATTAATTTCTGTTTCAGTGTGCTACCATATTTGGAAGATTTTGATATGGTCTATCTTTGGTTTCCTTATGTTCAAGAAAAATATGCAAAAGATTACGCTTCCTTGTTAAATGCTACTCGTTGCTTTATTGTTGAGTGCGTTTTACGCTTTTCTCGTTTATCATCTAAATCAACTGGACCACTGAACTGCAACATTTTTCATTTTTTTTTCACTACAAAAATATTAATATGTTATGTTATGTTTTGAAAGCATTGAAATAAGGAGTAATTTAAAAGTTTCTCAGATCATATAATTTTTATTTATTTCAGTAATCATGAACGTCCCATAGAACTTTTTCGTTCTGATCGCAGACGTGAAATTAACAAAGCTATCCGAGAGGATTCAATCCGTATGCGTGTTAAAGGATTTCGTTCATTAATTGATATAAGAGGCGAGCTCAAATCTGAAATAGTCAAAGATCAATTTAAGATGAATGGAATAACACAGGTTTATTAATAATTATTTCCAGAGAAAAAAAAAGAATCTTTTTTTAATATAATTGCTCTTTATTTTTGAGATCAGTCTTTCAGATTGTTCATAACTCTTGATTATTTTTAGTGGAAAAGATTTGATGTATTAAATCGGTATTTACGTGGATTTCGACTTGGAGAAATGACTGTTGTAACAGGTGGAACAGGCTTTGGAAAGACAACATTTTTGTGTGAATATGCGCTGGATCTTCTTGTTCAAGGAGTTACTAATAAAACATTTTTCATACATTTTACGGATTAAAAGAAGAAAGATATAATATTTGATAGCTTTTATTGCTTACTATTTTTCTTTTTACAGGTACGGACATTATTTTGTAGTTTTGAAATGCCTGCTGAGAAAATTTTGAAGTGGATGCTTGTTCAATTCGCTGCGTAAGTTTTTCAAATTTGCTTTGAATCAAAATGTTAATGAGTATGTTGCATGCATAATACAGCAGATTATTTTAAAACATCACACAATTTTGTTTTGTTAAAATCAAGAATTTTCATACTACAGAGTAGGTTGCAAAATTAGGTTACAAAAATAATACTTTGTTAAATACATTGTAAATAATGGAAAATCACATGACTTAAAAAAATATTAAATAAAGAAAAAAAATTACACCAGTAAATAATCGTTTGGTTATTAGAGCTGGGCAAAATGATAGGTTACAAATAATTTCGAAAATAATCGTTTAACTGTTAGACCAGCTCATGTGCGAAGTATGGCAAAGTCCCGAAGTCTTCATCATGGAGTAAAGTAAGCAGTCTGTGCTGCCTAGTATCTGTTCATATTTACGCCACTTTTTGCGTGCTTTTCATATTATACTTTCAATCATTTGTTGTATACTATTTCAGTCATTTGAAAGTGCTAATATTTTCATTCGCAAACAAAAAGCGGTTGCTAAGAAAAACAAAAAAGTCCTAAAGTTTTTTCACGTTAGGTAATTTCGAGGGCAGTACAGAAAAAATTAAATGCATATTTGTGATGTTCCGTGCACGTTTTTAGTGGTTTGTGCCCGGCATGCATTTATGCATTTTTTGTTCCACTGTGAATTTAATTATATTTTATATCTCATCTAGAATGCATTAGTTTTTACAGGTTACCGTTGTATAAAATAGAACATCATCCAGCTGTTGAATTGTGGATTGATCGTTTTGAAAGAACGAAGGGAGAATTGGTAATAATGAAAGCAGACGAATTCCGAAACCGTTCCGTTACTCAAATAGCTAATGTATGCATGTTCAAAATTTTATCAAAGTCTTTTTTCGAAAAAAATGAAACACTTTTTTGTTTCACTTTTTTTATCTAGCTGAATTTTATGGTTTCAAAATGATATTAGAAAAATTGTGCGATTCTTTGCAAAATTCTGTTATTTACTTTTATTTTTTTATATTTTTCTTTCATTTGAATACCAGTTCAGTCATGATTTTCTTATCTCTTTTCAGTATTATGTAGTGTACACAGCAGAATAGGAATTCATTTATTGCAGGCTATCAGAAGTCAGGTTACAGCTGGAGAAATTCAGCATGTTGTAATTGATAATTTGCAGTTTTTAGTTGGTCTCGCCATTTTGAATGATGAGAGAACAAATTCATTCGAACGCTTTCATCAACAAGTTAGATAATTATAATTTTTAATTTTCAAGTGGAAGTTCAGCACTTAGTTTAAGCAAACTTTTGAATTTCATTTGAGATTTTTTGTAGGATCGTTTTGTTGGTTTGCTACGAAGTATTGCTACTGATTGTAGTACTCACATTACAGTGGTTGTTCATCCACGAAAAACAAATGTGAGTTACAGTTATTTTCTTCTCATTTTATAATTATCAGAAATTCGTTTTTTGTTCTTAGATTAAAAGTTTTTGTACAATAATATTTTCCAGAGTGGAGAAGATCTTGACATACAGCATTTTGGAGGTTCGGGACGAGTTACACAGGAAGCTGATAACATTTTTGCATTGCAGCGACGACGAGACGAAGTTGACAGACGTCGATTTCGTAAATTTCTTTACGTGAGTTTTTTTTCCATAGCTCATTTTTTTGTTTTAGCAAGAAAACAATGGTACAAATTTCATGCTTGAAAAGAATAGTTATATATCTCTGTTCGCATGGTTTCAAAATGTTTATCTGAGTTTTTTGTAGATCTTGAAAAACCGTTATGGTCAAAGAAGAGTTGAGGATGATACGATTGAAATGATTTTTCAACCAGCTACTTACACACATGCACTAGTTGATTTATCAGTTGGTACTATGAGTTCTTCTTCTAAGTGACTTCTATGAAACTTCTGCTCGTTATTCGTTCCGCTGCCAGTATTTTGAAGTTTTTATATACTGCAATCATGGCATGCTGAGCTTCTTTTGTTGTTAGTCAGAAAGGAAGAGAATACTTTATTCTGGAACGGAAATTACAAAAAAATAACACACTTACTGTCTTTAAAATGAATAGTTCAAATACTCTTTTGATGTTTATAATAAGCAAAATATGCTAAACGTGAAATACAACTAGATGTGTATTTTTAAGCACCGATTCCGTTTTCATGCTTTTACAGTGTGAATTTGATACAGAGCAACTGCTCTTACTCAAAACTTCTACTTTCATTTAGTGTGATTGCACTGCAGTTCTAATCAAACATTTTAGCTGTTTGATAAAAATGCTTTAATAGATAGCGGGTTTACGTTGCTTGTTACTGTATGCAAACTACATCATGTTTAGTTACTTTGAACTGAATAAGACCCAAGTATTCTTCATTGTCGTTTTTCTCAATCGTTGTTTCGTGGTTTAAAGCTTAGATTATCTGACTTTACGATAAATTTTCTTCATTGTAGTCATTTTAAAAGTACGGGAAAAAAACGTTGTACTTAGAATTAGAAATAAACATTATTGCTCTGACTTTTAAATGAATTATTAGCAAGCATTACTAGTAATGCAGAATGATGACTGTCTGTTTATCAAGAGGAATCTATGATAATGTGTTCATATCACTTGCAGACTTTCGCTTCATATCATGTTGTTAATGTGTTTGTGTTTGCATATTATGAACAGCTAATAAATGACTTGTTTTCTTTATCTACTTGTTGGACTAATACAAACATTCAGATGAATACTCTATTGATTTAACGTAAATGATTGTATTTATCTGGATTACTTTTAGTAAGCAAATTATAGTTTAAACTTCTGCAGACGAGGATTCTGAGGACTGTCATCAGAGCAAGTACGTTCCAAGTGTAATGGATTTACATAAGCATTCTTGTCAGTATAAGTTGTTAGCATACCAGACGAAGTATTGGAGAAACGTAGCATGTCCTAGTACTTTGCGTAACTTTCCTCAGCAGTCAGTAAAACACGAAGTTTTGAATGTCTATCTCACCATGGTTAGATTATAGTCTAAATTAACGCTATATGAATGGTATTATACCAATGCTAACAACCATTCATATCAAAAGCAGATAAATCACCACTCTGTTAACAGTTTTCTGTTTTAATTGGTTAGTTAAAAATGCACCGTTGGCTCGGTCCCAACACAATAATATCCTCTTTGTAGTTTCCCTGACTACAGTATCTTTGACCCTCCTCAGAAAAATGATAAGGATTGGTGCGGAATGGAAAGTAGCAATTGAAGATGTTTTAGATTGAGAGAGTGTAGCGGTAACTTCTTCCTCTACCAGACATTCTCGAAGTTACTTTTAGAGTGTTTTCTGCGTTACTTAGTGTCAGGTAACGCATATTGCTAAGTTATTCCTCTGTCTTAGAAACTGTGAGGTGTAGTGTTGATGATATTCTTACTTGATTATATGTGGTATATATCTGTGCAGAAACTATGCTGCGAATATGGAATCGAGTACGACACCGCAAATCATGCAATGCATTTTTTTATGACATTGAAAAATTGTGATTTAAAAAAATAAAAAAGCATTCAGTTGTTGAAACAATTTAAGAAGATACTAGAAATGATGTAAGTGCAAGATTATTGGTTGTGAGAAGCAATGTGATCCATTTTATAGATGTGCGTGATCTTGTTTTTGTGATTGCTAATGAGAACAGTAGGATATAGACGTTATGGCATTTCGATAGTATTCAATTTATCGTTAGATTGTTTAAGCTGAAAAAAGTCTGAGAACTGAAGATGGATACTGAAAGTTCTACAAATTCATGTGCATCTTCAGCGGCGATTTCTTCTCCATCGAAATCTACTGCAGACATACTGTACCCTGCAGAGGGTGGAATTATAGCTGCGGCAAATAGTTGGATTACTTTGGATACCTTCGAAAATTACAAAAAATTGGATGCTGGTCCTGTAAAAATCGAATTTCAAAACTCGCAATTTCTAGTTTTTGATATTAATGGTTTGTTTATACGAATTGTATGTAACCTTGCTGTATTTAAGTAGTTTATGGATTTTGGATAAGTCTATATTTGCAGAGTTATTGGTAACAGTTGAAGGTTATATCAACCAAAGCAAACTGTATTCATTTATTGACATAAATCATGAACCTTACGAGAAAATGCATACAATATATGTGCTGTCAAAATGATACTTTGTTCAAGCGTTTAGGATTTATCGGAAATATTTTGTTCAGTTTTGTATCGTTTAAGTAGCTCGACACATGCTGCAAGAATTTCGCATTACTGCTGAAGCATTTGGAACTTCTAGTGAATCTCGGGCTAGTATTCGTAAATGTGGAGCTCCGTTCGTTCTCATGCCAGAACAAGTGTTTGTTTTAGTTGAATATGGTAAGATTTTCTACATTACTTATTTACCTCAAAATTCTATAATTCCTTGTTTCTTTGTAAACTTAAATGCATGGAGAGTTGGTAAACATCGTGGTGTATATTTAACTTTGTTATTATTCATCATATTGTCTTTTGGGCTTGCAATGGTTGTACGATTGAAAAGTAACCTGGAAGGTATTTCTAACGAAGTGAAGAACATCGAATTACCGAATTTCAAATCATCGCTTAATGATGAGGAGGATTTGAGAAAGAGGGCAGAAATAATAGCAAAAGGTCGAAAAATTAAAAGACTGAAACGTGAAGGTTATTTTAATCCGTCATCTGCGATGTTAAAAGTATGGTTTCTTATTGCTCAGTTTTAAGGCGACAAATATAGCGTTATTTTCTGTGTAAACTGAGAGATTTTAATTTGATACGTGACTCTAAAATAATATCTTGGTCATTATAACGATTTACTATTCTGTTTATTGTACTGGGTTAAGGTTTCATCGTGTACTAATCTGTTATTGTGCCAAATAAGATGACAGGATTAATTAAAATAAATCATATATTTCGGGTTCGACGCCGTGATGTTGACAGTGTGGAAGTCACTGCTTCAGAGGTAGACGAAACATTGAAAGAACTTTCGAAGATTCGTGAATCCTGTCCGCCAAAGGATATTTGGTACTTTCCGTTATGTAAGTCTTTTTAGCAATCAGCCCAAAAAATTTAAATAAAAGATTTTCATTCACGGTTTATTCTTAGCGTACTTTTTTGTAGGTGCGATTAGATATGATGGTTGAGAAATTTTTGTTACTTTTCTTTGCAGTTCTAAATTGTGATCTTTGATACACATATTACATAATTTTAAGGTGATGCCAGAGATGATGCTTATGAAAAAATTGAAAGACCACCTTTTCCCAGAAGTTTGAATTTTCGGCTTCGATTGAACACATTTCGTGAGTTGTGGCGTAGAGGCTATTATTTAACTTGTGGTTTGAAATTCGGATGTGATTTTCTTGTGTATGAAGCTGTTCCAGGTAAGGTTAGTATTTGTACCTACATTTATTGTGTTAGTAATCAAGTTAAGTATTTTAAATGATCGTTTTTAATCTTGTTTGGATATGGCATATTTTCAGTTACTGAAATTCTGCTACCTTTATCCAAAATACTCTCTAAATCCAACTGCTACTACTATATCTAAAGTATTTTCTAAATTCTGAAGTTTATCATAATTTAAAAGTTTTTCAGGAGCATGCAAAATGGTTAGTGAAGTGTGTTGATTCTCAAGATTCTTTATCATCACTAGATCTCATAGCACTATCTAGGCTTTCTTCTCAAGTGAAGAAACATGTATTGTTATCTATTGTTTCACCTGATACTTTGACACCCTACTTTATTGAATATTGTTGGTGGCAACCACAACGATCGTTACGTCATTGAAAACTGCCTTTATCTTACTCGTAAAGTTCAAAGAAGCTTGTATTATTTCATGTTTCAACAGCTTTTGTTTTATTTAAATTTTTTTATGTGCTTTGGTGTTCGCTCATTCAAAAATGGGAATGATAAAACGATAAGTCAATCGAATGTATGAAATTGTGCAGTTTGTTGTGTTCATTTGTCATTTAATACCTAACGCATATTTTTGAAATGCGGAATTTTTTTCCATTTTAAATTTTAGTAAGTGTTTTCATCTTCAAAGATCCAGATTAAAGAAATTCTTAGTTTGTTTTGTGCTGTTCGGCATCCAAATTAAAAGTATTCACATTTCCTTGGTGACTGACGTAAAAACCTTTTAATTGGACCATACTGTAAATACACTTACGTGTGGTAACTGGTGATTTGATAGGGTATTCATGTAATCTGATAGACTTAGATTTGACGTGTGGAAGTTGGTTCCCAGATTTTAGATTTTTAATGAAGTTTTTGAGCACTTTTTCAAATCTTTAAGCAGTTTTAGGGTTGTTTCTTCTGTTACAGGATCGAGCGCTCTAAATGGTATGTTCCGAGTGTTTTTTCATCTCATTCAATTAAAGTGTTTGAAAATACAAATATTTACCGTACATGCTAGGCTGAGGGTTTTTTATCGTTAATGTGTTTGGCTCTTTTACAGCTGTTCTACTCGTTTTTTAAATCACTCGTTGGGAAGGATGTTGTTGTGGAATTAAAAAATGACTTAAGGTAGGAGTATTCTTTTTACTATTTTTTTGTCCTTGACTGACATGTGTGTCTTATACTGCTAGCGAATTTTACTTGCAGTTGAGCAGTATCTAGATATTATTGAGCTATATATCTTAGGGTATTGTAAAATCAGCTAAGCAATGAGAGTAACATGGTTTACTTTACTTTAGCGATATTTCTGTTTTCTTACTAAATAAAAAAAATTAGAAAGGAAAGGGAATAGAGTGAACAAATAAATAAATAAGTAATTATACTGAGTATATAAAGTATCCAATTATAGCATTTGCGGCACTCTACATTCCGTGGATCAGTATTTGAACATGAAACTAACAGATATCTCAGTGACAGATTCGGAGAGGCACCCGCACATGCTTTCTGTTAAAAACTGTTTTGTCCGTGGATCAGTTGTACGTTACGTACAATTACCTTCTGATCAAGTTGATACACAACTTCTGCAAGATGCAAGTCGAAAAGAAATAATGCAAGCTAAAAGAAGTGCTAATGCATGATTTTCGTTTGTCATCTGCTTACTCTAGTTTTTGATTTATTTGTACATTCCATGTCATTATGAGAATTTTTTTTCATCATGCAAGCAATATTAACTTGATTATTTCTGTTTTTTTCTTACTTATCTATCTGTTTTTTGTGATTACTGACAAATGTTGCGATCTCCTCTTATTCTAGGGAAATACGTGCTTGTGAAAAGTTAGTATAAGTGAATTGCAGAATTTTATTAGAATGAGTTCGAAAGTGATTTAAGCATAGGGTTGAATTGCGGAAATGTCCCCACGTAAGTGTTATGGATCCTAATTTGTGGCATGGTTGTTCATTCTAGACTGTGAGATTTTTTTAAATTTCAGTTTGTTTGTTCTGCAGATTGCGAATGCGTTTGTAATGAGTTGTATGATCTAGAATAAAATTGTTGCATTCCAGTGCTGTTTTTGCATAAGTATTGTAATAATAACTGTTTTATATTGTAAATTGGGAAATAGAAACAGTGATGCTAAGTGAGACCTGCGCAATGAGCATATGCGTTGATTATTTCTGTTGTAAAGTAAGTTTAGTAAGGAAGCAAGTCTTTCCGTTCTTTGAGTGCACTGTTGCTCTAGAGCTTAATTTATTTTTGTTAGGAATTTGCGATTAAGGGTATATCTCATCTACAGTCAATGCAGGAATTGTCATTCTTTGTTATCTCTGACAATTTATTGTACGGCAGATTTGAATGTCTTCATATATCCAGCAGAAAGCTTATCATTTTTAGGCAGCTTAAGTAATAATCATTGTATTTTATAAGCACTATAGTACTAACTATAGCGAAATAATTGCACAAGTGGTTACAATATTGTATAATGTAAAATAAAGCTGTCTGTGCATTCATATCTTAGGTTTAGAGAAATTCCAATGAATATGTGAAAAATGGCAAATGTATACAAATATTTATGACAATTTTCCCACTACCAAGCTTGTTTTGTAAGTCCTCATATTCAGTAACCAACTTTTTCAAAGTAGTAAGGCAAAAATAATGGTAATAATGATTATTATTGTAAGGCAATTATTATTATTATTTTTACTTGATTGCTATTACTTCAAGAAAGATTTTATGAACTCATTGATTACCAGAGATTGTAAAAGTCTGCGATGGAAATGAACTGTGTTCATTGCTTATATTCATATACTTTCAAGCCGATTTTCTCACTACAGTTTAGTGGTATCCTTGCGTATTAACTTCTTAGAATACTGAAAAGTAGCATTAAAAAGAAAGTTATGTAGAATGATGCAGTACTACCTTATCTTCATTTGCATATTTGAGTTATATGAATTGAAGAAGTAACTCTCTTTACTGTCTCCTAATTAATTGCATGATTCCTGCAGGTATTACTGGGAAAAGAGAGTTCCTTTGATTAGTATAAGTAAGTAAAGCTTATCTGAAGCAAATCACAAGTAATCATTTATTTCATTGCTAGTTTTGGCTCAAATTCTTAATAGTATTCAAGAGTGGTACTCGCACATTTTTATTGTATTGATAATAAATTATCAATCTCTACTGCGAGCAGTTCGCGATTCTTTTACATAGCATTACTTTACTTTGTGATCAGTGCAAAGTATGAAGTAATGCTCTACGGTAATTTACTTGAATAAATTTGAATTCACTGCTTTCTTTTATTCTAAAATAAGTTTAACATCAAAATATACATGGTATTAATACGCATTTTTCGTAATTTTTAGTTTGATAATTTCTTGTGATACGCATTTGACGTCTGAGGAAGCTTTTTAACGTGAATATTTAATGGTACGATAATGTACGTTAAATATACATAAAGAGCAGATGAGGTGGGTGGCTTTATGAAGGTCATTTTCTTCATATGCGTCTAAATTTTCGCGCCTTTTTATCAACTTCAGAAAGTATTAAAAGTTAGTTTATTTCTTTGAGCAATAACTGGAAATAGTCAAAATTGCAAACAAATACACTACATGGGAATAATTTGGTAGAATAATTTTGAAGCTACTATTTGAATAGTAACAAATTTTATCAGACTGAATTATTCTTCTTGCGTTTCAAAGCTCTCAATCTTATTTCTTCTTTTTCTTTAATTAAATTGGCAATTACAATATCTCACGACAGTAATACATTACGTATAAGGTATGTAATGTAATTTTACGTTACGTGTGATTTAAAAATTTTCATTCCAACAGTAACTTGTATTACAAATGTGAGACTGTTAAGGAAGCAGTGCATAGTAAATTGATTACTGCGTTAAAATATGAATGCATTCATTGTATATCTGAATTATTGAAGAAAATGGAACAGAAATTCGTTACGTTTACTGATCCAAATTCCAATCATTTCAACTACTTCAATCGATATCATATCTATGATCATTACCATCAGAAGCAGGACGCAAGTGATTTTTTCAAGGTTTGTGCTTTCATACAATTTATCATTTATTTCATTTGTCGATTGATTCATTTCTGCGTAAATTTTGTACATTATTTGCTTACGTCAAGTGAAATTAAGTAAAACGTGAAGGTAGACGAAATTGAAAAAAAAGTTATTACGCGTAGACAAGAATGATTGATTAAGTGAAAATATAAAACGTAATCAGAATTGTATGACATAATGCAGTTTTTCGTTGCCACATCTTAATTATTATTGTGGTGAACTGAGCAGATATTACCGTAACTCCAAATAAGTACTTTTATTTGTTCTATTACTCACTTCTTTTGTAATGAACTGTGATAGCTAATTTGAATACTGTAAAAAGGATTATCTATAAAAGTACAGTATATTTTTTGCACAAAAATAATTTGTATGACAAAAGCAATGCAATATAAACAATTAAAAATTCTCTTTTCATTTTTTATTTTTAGGTGATTTTGAATGATTATAAGCTAAATTTGACTTGCTTACTTTTATTGTTAACTTTGGAATAGTTGCATGACTGCTTTTTACAGTAGCTCAGATTACTTTTGAAATGCAATCACTTAATTCTAAGAAAAAAGTAGATAGATAGGTTTTCAATGAAATATATTATACAAAAATACAGTAAGGCAGCAAGATTTTTCGCAGATTGTAGTAAATAAATTATTATTATCAAACACAAAAATAATTGTTATAAATACCGCACTCTCGTAGCTCATACAGTAATTTTAAACATAAATAGATTAATACTGTATAATTATTCATAATTTATGCTGTATCAGTTTTCTTATCCTACTTGTAGGCTTGTAGGCTGAAATATTGCCTTGTTATAAATTGAATTCATTCAACAACTTCATTCTTGGAAATTGCAAAATTTTTCATACTTCAACATGCATACTCTCACAATATATTTAACTTGGAAGGGTGGTTACTGTAGTACGGTAATTGTATATTGGTTTATCCAACATACAGTGTTTTAGTATTATCTTTCCTTTAAAAAAGTATATAGAATGTTCTCGAAAGTTCGTGCTCGTCTACTGCATCGAAAACGGGCACTGGCGCACGTAGGCAGCACATCCCGTGCAGTATGCAGATCATGCCATCATCTTTGGCCGCAGTGCTTTATTGAGCTGTACTTTGTCGTACTGAACGGTTGGTAGTTCTGAGTGAGTTTCCTTTGACATGCATTCCGGTAGTCACGGTTAATTTTCACGCATCGTAATGAAGCTAAACGTTAAAACGTTAAAATACATCTTGAATGAATTATTATTTTGTAATGAGTAATTTTTTAGAGATGTTATTTGCAGTATATTGTTACGTAGAAAGTTTATTTCTTGTTTAGTTTTATTATGATGCTTAAAAATTGCTTTATAATTACGCAATTCATTTGCTTTTGTTGTTAGTTACTGTGTATGTACCTCTGATGTTGACATTTTTTGTAATGTAATAGCTAAGCAGTGCGCAAATTGTTATCATATACATAACAAAACGTGATTATTTCGCTTACTGAAATTGCACGCAAATTTATAGCTTTTCCTGTGTCTTAGCGTACCTATAGTTCACTTAATTTTATTATTTTTAATGCTAATACAACAAATGAAGATACTATCATAGATAACAACTTTTAATCTCTAATTAAAATTGAACTTACGTCAAATATGACTATGAGAGGAGCGAATTTTTATCGATTACATGTGGATATAAATAAGCGTGTGCCTTACTGTTACGTCTTAGGCCTTATTCTACCTTCTTCTTAACGCGTCTTCATAGCTATTTTTCACCGGTATTACCATGCTTTAGTGTTCAGTGGATTGACGTAACCCAATAAAATATATGTATAAAATAAATATGACTGCTTTTTAAACGTGCGACTAATCACATTATCAAGAAAAAACATTTGTAAGTGATGAAAAAATACAATTAAAGGAAGCGGAAGTAGAAAGAGGTCAAAAGTGCAAATTCATGAGGGAATTAAGTTTGTGTTAAGCAATATATTAATAAGATAATACTTGCGATAGGGGACGGTTTAAGAGGTTTACAGGTTTGTGATTTGAAAGTGGATGAAAACTAGATTTATGATCAGTTAGTTGATGAATAGATGTGCCGATAATCCGTTTAGGTGTGCATGTGTGTGTATCTCTGTTTATGGTGTATTGTGTGTGTGTCATGGTGTACCTGTAAATTTTTTTGCTTTAGTCATTTCAGCTTTGTGTTCGTTTTGAGAAGAAAAATAGACTGGGGACGGATTCATTTGTTAGAAGGGTTCGATTTTCTACAAGCAACGAAGAAGGCAGAACAGATTGTTGCTGGAATATAAAGCAAAGAAACTATGACAAGCAGAAATAAGTTTACTATGCCTACACCGCGAAGTGCGACATCTCATCGCGTTGTAACTTTCAGTGACACACTGGACCACAAGGAAGGAGCGCATGTGTCTCTAAGTGCCGAGGAGATGGCGCTTGTGGATGAGATTCAACGTCGCGGACGCGAAAATGCATCCACCGTCAGTTAACTTATCAATGACTTTTAAAGTTGTAGTTATTGATTTCAATAAGTTAGTCCTGAGTAAGTATCAACAAATTTGTAGTTTGATGTAATTAAAGCAGATACTAGCAATTGCATTAACTGCTACTGTGGATTTATTTTAGGGTGTTCGAACAGGAAAAATTAGCGTGTCAGAGTTGATGGGATTGGGCAACAAAAATTTCGACAAGAAAAAGCGGAAGAAGGATCAGGGAGATTCATCTGCGAGTAATGATGGAAATAGTAGCCTTCATCTTGGCACGCCGATAGCGGAAGTACCAGGTCATCATGGATTTTCAGTAGATCCTGCCACTTTACTAGATGTCGCTGGTTGGAAGATTCCTCCACTACCACCTGGACTTGTCTCTATAAGTGATCACTTTATTATATTTGTTGCCAGCTTGGGAATTATACTATTTGGTCATTTATTTTTTGCTTAGGTATCTTGCTGGTCTCAATTGTTAATTAAATAGCTTTGGTCACAAATATTTTGCGGAGTAATGGGGTTAAAAAGTTGAATGAAAACTTGTTTTTTCCAGCTCATGAAGCTGATCGCCATCCTTATCCGTCTGCGCTTCCTACTTGTATTTTCGAAAAAGCGATGAAAGCAGCAGCGATCGTTCACGCAGGTACACAACTGCCTCCCATTTCTTCGACACGTACCGCTGCCGGTAAATATTTAAACTGCTAAGTTTTAAAACTTTATACGTTCTGGTTTTTACGATTATATCCTTATTAAGGAAGCTGCAGTACAATGCTCCAAAGTATTTTTATTTGAGTTTCCACGTGTTCCTTTGCTAATAGAGTCGACTTTGTCTTCAGGAGGCGCAACATCGTATGGTAATAGTGTTCAGATTCCACCTGTGGATCTGATCAGACTTCTGCCGCCACTTTCTCCGATGTTTCCATTGGTTTCAAGCGGCATGCAACGACCAACCACACCTGCACCATCAGCAACACAGGGTGTTATTTCTCACGGTTTTGCTGCACCAAGGCAAGGTAAGCTAGTTTCATTATTATTTGACCTCTATGTTGGCTGGTTCCACATACAACTCAAATGCTGTTGCTAAACATTCTAGAAAAAGGTTTACAAATAACTAATTAATGCTTGTTTTTGTCTGCAGCAAAATGCTAGTAACAAAATCCTCTAATACTTGAACGGCTGATAATTGAAGGTAATGTCAAAAGCAAAAGATGTAGCGAATGAAATTACTTGGCAGCGTTGTTAACTCTAGCCTTTTCTCGTTGAAAAACGTATAAAATTATGATTTTTGATGTAGAGGATGGAATTGAATTTTTTGTATGTGTGTTAGTACTAATTATTGGAGTAGTAATTGGCCAGCCATAGCTCAGTTGGTAGAGCGGAGGACTGTAGAGTGTGAGCTGATATCCTTAGGTCGCTGGTTCGAATCCGGCTGGCTGGAGTTGTTTTGCCCTAAAGCTAGTTTCATTATTTGACCTCTATGTTGGCTGGTTCCACATGCAACTCAAATGCTTGAAACTATCATTTGCTTGGGAAGTGGAGCACAGATGTTGTTATACATACTTGTAAAGTGTTGAGGAGAGTGTTTACTCTTACTTTGTGGCGTGGTGTTTCAATAAATTTATTGCATCTTCAGTAGATTTCTATTAAGTCATTCTAACAACAACTGCAAAACATTTGATGGATTTGAATGATTAATCTTCATTATTATTCTCATATAACTTTCAAGATCGGCTTCTCTACATTTTTGTTCTATTGTTGAGTATAGTAATCATGCAATATTGATTTGGTGATGGCACGTGGGAAAAATGCATATGGATGTAAATGTTAGTCTTCTTGTCTTCATTTTGAGACTTGAGATTAAAAATGTTTTTACATTGATAGTGCGCATATAATAAAGCAAATTTTCAACGAGGTACGTAATATTTCTTCAATTCATTCATCCATTTGTAGGCAACAAAAATGCAAATTTCGGAGGAGTTGGAAATCGTCAATATGTTGGCAATATTCATAGATCACAAGGTTATGGCTCACAAGTAAATGGCTGCAATCAACAGCGAATTAATCAGCAGAATCAAAAAACTAGGAAGCCCTTTTTTATGCCTTATATGAATGTAGAAGCTGTAAATCGTGGCATTGCGAATGGGGATCTTATCAAAGTACTGTGTTTATGTTTTGATCATTTTTTCGTAAATGTTGCTATGAAATTCAAAAAGACACTATAATACTTGCACATTGGTATACTCTGCACTTTAAATTCATTTTACTTATAAAATTTATCATTCATGAGCTAACTTTAGTTACTGCATTCAATTCTTTGAAGGGTGTTTTACGTGTCAACCACCGGAACTATGAAGAGTCTTTTGTCGACGATTCTATGGGTGATGATCAGCAGGATATCTTAATACTTGGCGTGCACGATCGCAATCGTGCACTTCACGGTGATGTTGTCATTGTTCGCATTAAAGACAGAAATTGCTGGGTGGTGAGTTCATTTTATTGCCTTAGTTCTTTTAATACATTTCAAAAATCTTTTGTAATAATTGTTTCTTCAGGTTCGTGATGCATTGTATGAGGCATGGCGTGGTGGACATTTAAAGGCTGTTGTTGATGATAACGGTAAACCATTGACAATTCCTCCAGTAAAGCGTTCTGAATCTGAAGTTGATCCAACTCCAGCTGAGCTTCTTGATGTAAATTATTTGGTTGTTTCAATTTATAGAAGTGTATTTAAAATCGAATAATTCAAGCACTTTTGAAAATCTTAAATCTAATCATTTCTCTAGTTGCCTACATGTGTTGATAAGTGCGTTTCAATCAAAGAAATGAAGGAGAGTGTGCCTTTGACGACAAATCGACAATATAGCAGGGAACAAATGTTATGCATCGCCGCTAAAGTTTGCTTTAACTTTATTAGCAAACAATTATACAACTTTTTTGATTTTTGTCTGATTTTAGCTCGAACTAAAACGTCGTAAACGAGTTGGTATAGATTATGATGACGACATAGATCCAGCTATTCTCAGCGTTATATCCAGACTCGCTATTTTAAGAAGAGCAGATTCACCGACGTATGTTACTTTATTTAAATTAATTTCACTCTTCATTTGCTGAGAGATTCAAAAAATTTTTCTCGATACAGAATTTCGGCGTATGGTATTTCTATTTCAAATCCTGGAGTTGGTTCAGCTGCTTCTCGTAGAAATGCAGTTGGCAATAGTAGTTCTGTACAGCGTCGATCCAATTATCGAATTTTATCAGATATGCCCGATGAGGACTGGGGAATCCCTGACATGTGCCTTCAGAAAACTGCTGAGGTTTACTTCCATCGTGTCTTGCTAGAAGTTAACATTTAATTTGCAAAAAATTTCAGAGTTTTGATTGATTTCATCGAGTGTAACATTTCTAATCGAAATTCAGCCATTTTTTTGATTTTCATTAGAATATACTTTTTGCTAGGGACTAATATTTCAAATTGCTTCAATTCTTCACAAACTCATTCAATTGTTGCATTTAGATAGAATAATTTTTAGGTAGTATTTATAAGTGAACAAAAAAATTGTCGAGCTGCAGTGGGAATGTTGAAAATGATGGCTGATGGAAATCGAAATTGGGCACTTTTTTCACCTGGTGATTCTCGAATGCCGCGAATGATGATACCAGCAGAGCAAACACCTCCTTCTTTCTTTGACCGTCCTCAAGATTTTGCGAAATATATTTATGTTGCAAGGATGGTAGAATGGCAGGCAACAGCACAATTTGCTAGAGGGTTAGTTAGTTTTGTTTGCTCATGTAGTGATGAAGTTATTATGTTGCTCTTTTCAGGAAGTTGTACAAAAGTCTCGGTTTGGCAGGTGACATAGAAGCTGAAACAGAAGGTCTTTTGCTGGCAAATGATGTTGATACCAGAGAGTTTTCAGCAGCTGCACTTTCATCATTACCAATCACTGAAGCTGTAGAATGGAAAATTGATGAAGTTGTATCTGATCACTGTTGAAAGTCATAAAAATTGATTTTCATTTTCATTATTTTTTCTGTCTCAGAACTACAAGTATTCTTTCAGAAAGAGTTCAAGTATCGGAAAGATTTTCGAGATGAAACCGTGTTTACAATCGACCCCGTTGAAGCTCGTGATCTTGATGATGCTCTCCACATAAAGTCAGTTTCAGATTGCGATGGAGCGGGCAATCCAGGATGGGAGGTAAAAAATATAAACAAGATGTCTTAATAATCCTATTTTCTCTCCATAACGGTAATCATAATTATAGGTTGGTGTGCATATAGCTGACGTTTCTCATTTCGTACAATCAGGCACGGAACTTGATCATTGGGCTTTCAGTCGTGGAACATCAGTTTATCTTGTTCATAAAGTCAGTCTTTTGGTTGAAGATTGTTTGTTTGTGGAAGTGTGAAGTGATTATTTTTAGGTTATACCGATGCTACCTAAAATTCTTTGTGAGGAACTTTGTTCATTGATTCCTAATGTTGATCGACTAACGTTTTCGGTGGTTTGGAAGATTAATGAGCGAGGAGAAATTTTCGATGAATGGTTTGGACGTGGAATTATACGGTCGTGCTGCAAACTAACATATGAACACGCGCAGGTAAGGCAGCAAGTACTGATTATTTTATAAAAATTCTTGATTTTTCTTACTCTAGATGTTCAGTCACTGTTTTTTTCCAGGATTTTATCGAGCATCCAGAGAAAAGTTTTTCTTCATCTGAATTGCCAGAAATTTTCAATAGCAAAACATCGGATGAAGTGAAAGAAGCAGTTTTACATCTTCACAAGGTAGCTTTTAATGCTTTTCAGATTTGAACGTACTAATTTGTGTTTAGAAGGTAAAGATTTAGTTGTGACCACGGTAGAATTTTGTTTTCGATTACTTAAATCTTAAATATATTTGTACCTTCGTTATATTTTATATTTATGCCAAAAATGACAGTAATAATTAGTGAAGTTTAAAAAAATAAGAAAACTAGTTCTTTTCTTAGTTTTCAATTAAGTTTCCAACTCATGATTCTTGATTTAGTATTTCAGGTTGCAATTTCGTTAAGCAAAAAGCGCTCTGAAAACGGTTCACTTGGTATAAATCTCCCAAAACTCAAATTCACTCTCAACGAAATATCAGGCATGCCATGTGACCTGTCTCTCTATGAAGTATGTCATAATTTTTCTTATTTCATAAATTTGTTTAAACTTTGTTTTATTAGTTTTTTTGTCTTGAAAATAAATAAGAAACTTATCTCCTTTATAGCGTAAAGAATCTGATACCTTGGTAGAAGAGTTTATGCTATTGGCAAATATGGCTGTCGCAAGGAAAATTGAATCTTCGTTTCCAAAGACAGCACTTTTACGTAGACATGCGCCTCCAAAAATGAAAGTTTGTCTTTTTTATCACGCCAAATTGTTGTGCAAAAAATTTTGTTGTTTTTGTTGGAATCTTCTCAGGATTCACCAGGCGTTGTGTTCAGAAATATTTTTCTGTAGATGCTGCGAGATATTTTGGAAAAATGTGAAAAAATAGGATTCGAAATTGATGGCTCTTCATGTTCAGCGCTTTCTCGTAGTTTACGAAAATATGATGGGAAAAGCGAAATGAATCGAACATGCGTTCAGGTACTGGAAATACAGTTCCTATATTGAAAAATAAAATATCCTGAGCTTAGTTTTTGCACTAGAAGTTGTGTCTGAAAATATAAGTCCACTGAAAGCAAGGCGATGAATTATTTTAGATGATCTCACACTTGCTGATGAAGTCAATGCAACTGGCTATGTACTTCTGCGTCGGTTCTATGAAAACTCGTGCTGAATATTCACATTACGCTCTGTCAGTGCCATTTTATACACACTTTACATCCCCAATTCGACGATACCCAGACATTTTGGTTTGTTTGTGGAAGGATTGAAGATTCTATAGTCTTTCGGATATTTAAAGTTTAAGCTAAGTACTATTTGTAATAGGTCCATCGGTTTTTGTCAGCAGCTCTCGGTTATTCGCCGGCTCCTGGGTTAACGGTGAAAGAGGTTGAAAGTATTGCAAACCACTGTAACTGTAGAAAACAAACTGCAAGGACAGTTTCAGAAGCGAGTGATGACATGTTCTTCGGAGTCTTTATTAGGGTTATTTTTTTTTGTCCTTGTTGATAACTTTTTCAGTCATCAATCATTCCATTTTAACAAATTATGAAATGTAGGAATGTGGACCGCTTACGGAATGCGCTGTAGTATTGCAAGTTTCGGATGCTTCATTCGACGTACTTATCATAAAATATGGTGTTTTAAAGCGTGTCTATACTAATGTATGTTTAATTTTATCTTATTGACCCAAATTTGGAAAAATATATGAGGTCACTAATATTTATGCTTTTTGATTTTGTAGCGTCTTCGAATGGCTCGTGAGCCACGATATATTGAAGGAGCATGTCCATCATTGATTCTCTACTGGGACTCTTCCTGTGATGGTTCAAACTCTACGATTGAGCAAGTTATTTCAATGTGTACTATTGTGGAAGTAGTTTTATCTGCACTTCCAGAACCAACCAAATACCAGGCAATATGGTTTTTATATTCTTTTCCTTCCAAATTTATTGGAAATTTATTGTCCACGTTTCTATGTTTAATACAGTAGAGATATGTCATGCTACAGAAATGCTGTCAAACATAAGCCGATGTACTGTTTTGTTTCTTTTAGCTGTCATCTTTTCAGGCAGTACTGAAACAGCCAGTTAATGGTGTAAAATGTTCATCCTTATCACAAATCATTGCTTTGGCAAATGAAGGATAAGGCAAGGAATGGTTCAGACATTTATAATGGAAGTCTTTTTCGACAAAAATAAAACTATTAATAGAGAAGACATTTTGCTTCATAGTAAATTCTATGGATTCTGTTTCAAGTATTAAGGCATTTTGATACTTAACTGAGGTATTTAAATTAGTTTTTCACCTATTACTTGAAACAAAGGCAGAAAATAATGGTTTTTCTGTTGAGCTATTGTGAATATTGTTTATGTTCAAATCGTTATGTTAAATTGAATTGCCACTTCGGGTGTACATACGCTAATAATTGTTTATCTGGTATTGCAAATATTATGCGAAAGCACTTAATGATTGTGTTGATGAAGCCATAATGTCTAGTTTTTTTCTGTTTCTCGTTGTGTATTAATGTCAGAAATGCACTACTATGGTGTAACTGTAGGGCGTGCATGGAAATATGTCCCTTTGATATCTCAAATCATTGTTGTTATTAGTTTATTTATTTCGTTCTTTTATATTTAATCATATTTGCTAGCAGTCTCTATGGTAATAGTTTGTAACTTGAAAGAACTATGTATGTGAATGAATGTGTGAGTGTATGTGAACGGAGTTTGGAATCGGTAGGGCGGTGTTACTTGTTACAAAAATTTCTCTTAGTTGGCGTTGGTGCTCGCTTTCAATGTATCTGGTTGTTACCAGAAACAGTGCGCTGTGTTTATTTTCGTTATTGTAATGTGGTAATGATTGGTACTTGAGAACTTTTAAGTTTGGTTGTTTTGTTCACTTTAATAATAAATAACTACGTTTTGTGTGTAATGGCATTTACAATAGTTTGCCTCCAGTCAATTTTCCGCATACTTCAGACGGATTATGTTGTAGAATTTGAAAGGGATTGTTTGAAACAGGAGACGGGGAGAGTGGTTGCGGTTGATTTGGATTGTGCAGTTTAACTTGCTAAAAGGTACGAATGTGGGTTGAAATTAATATGGAACAAGATGAGGTTTGTTTCAGGGATGAAGAATGGGTTCACGACTTTAGATGTCTTTGCGGCAGTTCATGATTTGAAGAAGCTTGTTGGCCATCGTGTCGCCAACGTTTATGATGTGAATCCTAAAACATATCTTATTCGAATTCAGAAGTATGGGTTTTAGCAGATTTGGGTGGTGATTCGTAAATACAACTAATCTTTTGTCTAAATACTTTTTTTCTTTGCAGTGCGGATGATAAATGCTTCATTATGTTCGAGTCCGGATGCAAGATTTACAAGACTACGTTCGATTGGCGTAAGGCTCAATTTCCTTCATCATTTAGTATGAAACTTCGAAAACATATTAGACAGAAACGACTGCAAAGTGTTAATCAGTTGGGCATCGATCGGATTGTTGATATGCAGTTTGGTTCATGTGAACAAGCTTGTCATGTGGTATGTTAATTTACCGCTTCATAGATGCTAAAGATTAATTTATAAGTGAAGAGATACTTTTCTTCTGCTAGAACACTGATTCAAATTAAATTGGCTGTTAATTCCTTTAAGGTGGGACTTTCCAGTATAATTTATAGAAAATGATGTATCGTTTTGTAGTACCACTTATTATAAGTTGTACTTATTGTGCTTAATCTATTGATTAAAATTTATTGAGGTAGATTGTGGAACTTTATGATAGAGGCAATGTCTTATTAACGGACCACAATTATATTATTCTTAATGCTCTACGTCCAAGGACTGCCAAAGAACTCGATTTGCGTTTCATTGTTCATGAGAAGTTGGTTTTGAATTCATGTCTACTATTTACATTTGCTTACTTTCTTTTTTTAACTTTCGATATCTGTTTTAGGTATCCTTTGGAAGCTGCGCGACAAGTCGCTAGTTGCTTAACTAAAGATGAACTGATTATGAGATTAAATAACGCCAAAGAAGGTGACTCGCTTAAGCGATTTTTTGCCCCATTAACTCAGTACGGTTCAGCTTTAATTGAACATTCGTTGAAGGCAGTTGGTATTTCTAAAGATGCCAAGGTTTGACTAGATTTTTACTAAGATTTCAAATTCATTATTTTGTGATTTTATTTCAGTTACAAATATAATTCACTATGGTAAAGGAGATAATTAAATGTATTGTTTTATTCTTCGATCATTAGGTGAAAATTTTTGTATCGTTTTTTTGGAACTGCCATAAGTTAGAATTAGGTCATTTGGTTCCAGTAATCCGTCAATTAGACTCACAATCTTGGATAAAACATTCTATGAATCTTTTAATTTATTGTTTTCTCATATTTTATATAGTTTCTACATGCTCTAGTCATTTAGTTCATCAATTTGTGTGGGAACATAATTTCGAAGCTTGGCTCTCAAATTTTTATTTCATGTTTCGAGATTATTTTAGAGTTTTGCATTTTAAATGTTATGCTTGCTAAATATAATGAAGCAAGAGCGTGAATAATCAGAGGATATTTGAAGATTGGTATTAGTATCAGTAAAGAGGAAGCTGATATTTCAAAGCTACTAAATGCGCTTCAGCTAGCTCAAGAAATTTTTAATAATGTCCGACAAAATCCTACTCCGGGATTTCTAATGTATAAGGAAGATGTAAAAACTGATGGCACAATTGTTGAAACATATCAGGTTTTATTTTAAAAACTCATTACATTTTTTTTTTCTCAACTGTTTCTCAGTTACAAAGTATGTATTCATTTCTATGCAGGAGACTTAACTAGTGACATTGCAGGAATATCATCCATTCAAATTTTCACAGTTCAACGAGAGGCAAATCAAGCAATTTAGTTCCTTTTCGGAATGTGTTGACGAGTTTTTTTCCAAACTGGAATCACAGAAAGCTGATTTAAAAGCGTTGAATGTCGAGAAGGAAGCGATGAAGAAGCTCAACAATGTTATCAAAGATCAACAGGTGCACTACTTTCATCCTCTGTTCTTTATTTTACTTTTCTACTTCATTGCTGCTCAGGATTGACTTTGTACTTCTTTTTAAAGAATAGTTATGTAGGAACGAATAGCTGCTTTGGAATTAGCACAAGTTGAAAGAGAACAAATGGCTGAATTGATTGAACTGAATACAGCTTTAGTAGATAAAGCCTTACTGGTTATTCGATCGGCTATTGCTAATCAGGTAAAACAGTTGTTTCATAAAACTCATTGTAAAATCCAATATCATAGAAGATTCAATTGATTCCGTTATTTCAGTTAAGCTGGGAAGCTATCGAAGAAATGCGAGTGAAAGCTTGTAACGCAGGTGATCCAATCGCTGCTTCCATTGTCGGTTTAAATCTAAATTCAAATGAAATGGTGTTACTGCTTAAAGATCCTTATCAACCGGAAACCGTTCCTAAAAAAGTAACTTTGATGCAGATGTTTGATTAAAAAGGCCACTGCTTTAGACTTTCATCACATAATTTCATAATTCGAACGGAAAAAGTTGATTTTTATTTACTTTATTAATAACACGGGATGAAACAAAGTAAACTTGATATTACATTTCTAAGGTGACCATCAATATTGCTCTGTCATCTCATCAAAATGCTAGGAAGTTGCATACTGAAAAAAAAGCAGCCCAGGAAAAACAGCAGAAAACAATATCTGCTTCATCAAAAGCACTGAAGTCAGCTCAGATAAAAACAAAGCAAACATTGGAGGCGGTATGATTTTTATTTGAAAAGTGAATTTTCGGATGTCATAAGTTGGTAGTTAGCTATATATTCTTTTGAAAAGTATGAACGTTTCAGTTTTTTAACTTTTGTGACCACTGTTGTTAAGGTTCGGACAAAAAGTGAAGTTATGAAGAAGCGACGCGTTATGTGGTTTGAAAAATTTCTGTGGTTTGTGAGTTCTGAAAATTATTTGGTGATTGGTGGACGAGATGCGCATCAAAACGAACTCCTTGTGAAGAAGTTAATTCATAATATTTCAACTTTGAGATTGATATGATAAGTTGTATAAGTTACTAAAAGCTTTTTAGATATCTTCGACCAGGTGATATTTATGTTCACGCAGATGTGTGGGGAGCTTCATCTATTGTCATTCGCAACAAACTTGGTGGAGGCGATATACCTGTGCGAACTCTTAATGAAGCTGCTACCATGGCTGTTTGTTACTCGTCTGCCTGGGAAGCCAAAATTACAGCTTCATCGTGGTGGGTTCATGAGCATCAGGTTGGATATTAATATTATTTGGATTATAATAGGAAGGATTTATTCAGGTTGGATATTAATATTATTTGGATTATAATAGGAAGGATTTATTAAATGATTTATGAAAATTATATTGTATTTGCAATCAAAATAACTTTTAATGTGTTGATATTCCTTTTGATACCATTATGATTTCGTGAAAACAAGGCATTGCAATTTGTATTTTGTGGGTGATATAATTATAGGTTTCAAGAACAGCACCTACTGGTGAATATTTAACACCGGGCAGTTTTATGATACGTGGTAAAAAAAATTATTTGCCGACCTGTCAGTTGCAAATGGGATTTGGTGTAATGTTCAAATTGGACGAAGATTCGCTAGAAAGACACAAAGAAGAACGAAAAATTGCCTCCATATTACTTCCTGAAAATGATACTAGAAAGGAAAGCGATGCCGAAAATGACATTTCCATAAATAATAGCGAAGATGAGAAAGAGGAGGATTATCCAGATATTCAGGTGAAAATTGTTGATTTGCACAATTCTTTGTGATTGTCTAGATTTTTAAACTTGCGGTCATATTTTCTTCAACGTTTCTGTTGATTTTACTGTTAATTAGTAGTCTTAATAGAAAGTTACTTATTCATAGATGTTTTGAGAATGCGTAGGTTTGGAATTTTCGCTTCTGCATCAAACATGATATTACCGGACGAAATGTGATTTCTCATTGTTTATGTCAACTTTTGCTGGAAAAATTTTATAAATTCCAAATTCAGCACGATTATTCATGTTGAGTGGAAAGAAAAGAACATGTTGATATTTAGGTTAACTTGAAAGGTATTATGCGTGAAGTGAAAGGCGCTGAAGATGAAAGCTATACCATTGTCCAAGTTGGTCCATCAGTGCAAAAAAAGCATACTTCGCAACAAGCTGGTAATACCCAGGGAAATGTTGAAGTTACTGAAGCACAGAGAGCAAAAGAAAGTAAGAAGATACGTCCGATGAATAGACGTCAAAAACATAAGATAGAAAAAATCAAGAAAAAGTATGGTGATCAGGATGAGGAGGAGCGACAATTAAGAATAATGTTGCTAGGATCAAAACCGAAAGATACCGATAAAGTGGAAAGTTTGTAATTAATAATCACTGCATACTCGTAAAAAAAAGTCTCACTGTTTTTGCAAAATATCAGGGAAAGAGGTTGGGAGTTGTTAGACAGTTGAGAAGAAATTTACATCCAATTTAGATTTTCTCACTTCTAGACCAAAGCACAATTTGTAAAGAAACTACTAAATGAAATTACTATTCTTCATCTCAAGCATTAAACATTGGATTTTTCTAGAAAAAACTTCATCTAACAAACCTACAGAGAGTATGGATAGTAGTAATGTTTTGCTGAAGAATACGAATGGTCATGTATCTGAAGAAAATAAGATCGATAATTATGCGAAGAAAAGTAAACGTTTAGCAGAACTCCTAGAGGTATGATCATTCTCGGCTAATGTCAAGCCTTTTTTTTTAATGCTATTACCAAATTGCTGAATATTTCAACTCATTTAAGTGTTGTGAAGAAAATTGAATATATAGTTTGGCTTTAGAAGTAAATAAGTTCTGGAAGTAAGTTTTCTAATTTTCCGGACGAAGAGGATGAAATGTTGGAAACCGATGTAGCTTTAATGGATGCTGAGGAAACAAAGATGCTGAACTCATTAACGTGGAAACCGTTGGAAGAGGATGTTATTCTGTTTGCAGTAGTAGTAGTGGCGCCCTATCAGACTATGCTGAATTTCAAGTACAAAGTAAAATTAACTCCAGGAACTGGGAAAAAAGGGAAAGCAGCAAAATGCGCCATAGCGTTGTTCCAGGTAATTTGTGTTAGTTCCATAATCATTCCACAAAAATGATTATAAACCAGGTGACATCATGCCTTGCAGTTAAATCGTTATTTTATTACATTCTTAGCCCACTTTTGCGGCAAGACAGCAAAAAATTATTTTTGACTGACAAATGGATTAAACTAATAATCAAGAACGGTTCATCGAAACAACGGAGTAGAAATGAATAAAAGTCAGAGCATTGTAATCTGGAGCTTGAGCAGAAGTGATTATGCGTTTCTAAATCAAAAATGCACAATCATTTCTGCTCAAATTATGGTCATGGTTTGGTCGCGACATGTTTCTTGTTTTCAGCGTGACAAATTCGCTAGTTCACAAGAACTGGATTTACTTAAAGTACTGGCAAGTGATGATCAGATTTCGCGAAATATACCTGGGAAAGTCAGAGTTTCAGCTCCACAACTCAACAGAAAATAGGAAAATGTGACAAGAAATTTCGAAAAATGTATACTCTGTTTTCCATCACACAGTAATATCAGTTCTGGGAATTGTAATATGTGTGCTCTTGATAGTGTGAACTATGAGAATGATATGACTTGTAATGGTTATTTATATGCACTGTTTCCGTATACGCATTAAAACTATGACCACTTATTGCACGGCTGTAAAAGGGGTACTAACTACTTTGATCGCTATTTTTATTGGACGAATCACATAGTGGTAAAGAAGTTTGGGGTATTAGATGGTTGGACGTCTGTGTTTCAATATCTTGATTGGCGTTAGGCTTATTGAATGAACGTTGTCTAATATATGAAGAGGCCTTTGTAGAAACGCAATTGTGAAAAAGTAGTGAATGAGGTGGGATATATTCATTGTTACTGCTGTGTTAAGGATAAATTGAAATAGTGGTGTGCTGGGTTGAATCTTCGTAGATGGATGCAGAAATAAAGGATGATGATAACGTATCCCAAGCACCTTCGTCAAAACGTTATCGACGTGATGACAATGTCGATCCGACTAATCCAGATCCGTCGATCGTTGTGCATGTGCGGAATTTGAGTCCTAAAGCTACCGAAGCTGATTTATTAGAAGCGCTGTCTCATTTTGGACCAATATCTTATGCTACATGCATGCCAGGCAAACGGATGGCACTGGTGGAGTTTGAGGTCTTTACGTTTTTTAAACTATCAGCCCAACTAGCCCTGACCATAAGTTTGCAGTAATGCTCATGCTGGTTATAGTCGTAGTTTCTCAATCTCTTGTGGTATATGTATTATTGTAGGCAAATGTATTTTTTTTAAAGGAAGTAGAGGGAGCTCGTTCATGTGTCGTTTATGCTCAGACTAATCAGATCTATGTTGCTGGACAAGCAGCATTGTTTAATTATTCTACATCAAAAGTAATACAGCGATTAGGTCTTGAATCGGAAACGCCTAATCATGTTCTCATTTTAACCATTTATAATGCGCAGTACCCTGTTAACGTTGATGTCATCCACCAGGTTAGTATATCACCTTTTCTCTCAATATGATCCATCATAATGAATCACTGTATGGAAATGTTGCACATTTATGTGAGTTTGACTACAATTTCAAGTTCTATTTATTAACACGATTTCAAGTTTTGCAAATATTGTTTGCATAAATATTAATATCAGTTATAGTAGAAAAAACGGGCAGTTTGTGCTTTTGAAAAGACTATTTGTAGATTTGTGAGCCACATGGCTTCGTCAAACGTATTGCAATGATACGACGCACGATGTTGCAAGCATTAGTAGAATTTGAAAGCACCGAAATCGCAAAAAAGGCGAAGCATGCAATGAATGGGGCTGATATTTACTCTGGATGCTGTACTCTTAAAGTTGAATTTGCAAAGGTTACTATTCATTTGTCTACTGTGTTTCTTTTTTTTTTAAACAAGTAGTCTTGAATTGCAATGAATATGAAAATCATACCGAGAAAATACTTTTTAAAATTCGAAACTAGAAAATAATAGTAAATCCTGGAATGTTCTAAAGTCTATGTGGTCACGTATTCTCATGTCCGCTATTTCATATGTCGGTAATTTTGAAAATATTAATTGGAATTTCCAGCCAGAGCATGTCAAAGTAACGCGGAATGACATGGATCAGTGGGATTATACGAAGGTGCCACAATCAGGTTGTTTATTTGAAATTTTAGTATTTTAGAGGTAGCTGTGGTCGTATTGTTGCAGGTTACTACAGAGTTACAGGGCATAACGTGAAAATTACATTCACACAAACTACACTGACACTGAATGATGGGGGACATTGGGTGGATCGAAGGTTGAAAAAAGCAAGATAAACTTTATCTACAATCAAAACATGTAGGCAGTACCAACATGAGAAATGTCGGAGTTAATCTACAACTGTGCTATATTACGATCGTCGGTACGTTCATCACTATCATTACCATCATCATCAGAACCATCATCATCACCAGCAACAATATCAGGCAATATTAAAACTCGCATGGTAGATGACACATTGTGTGAGGTCGTGCAACAAACAGTTAAATTACGAATTTCACCTTAGTGAAGTTGAATCCAGCACCATAAATATCACTGACATACGTGTCGAGAAATTGACAACAAGAAACATATCTCCATATTATCATTATTTCAGTACAGTTATCATTCGCATCTTTCACTGTTCGTCGTAATTCGCACAACTATAGTAAAAGAAAAAAAAAAGGAATAACAGTAGTCGAAAATCTAAGTTTCATAATTTAACGTCATGCAAATGGACGTATGACGGAGATCTTAACTGGAATGCATGATAGTAAAGAATAGATACAGAAAAAAAAAAAGAAATAAGGACGAAGAGAAAACGAAGTGCCATTATAAGGTCTTATCCACGAATCTTATAAATGGTCATTAACGTGAATGCTTCCCTTTTCTGCAGGTTTCTACCGCAAAGAGCTTGCGGTGTGGAAGAAAACATGTAACGGTCGTGCTGGCTTACAGGCTTAATTTTATGTATAATTTGGAGAAGGTTTGTTGCTGTCATTATGTTGCATTGTTCGAGTGCGGTTTGGGGCTTTATTGATTGATGAAATGTCTAGACTTTAGGTATTTTTTTACAAAGCTGGAAAGGTCAGCTTTGTATTTTTCTATTTGCAGATTAAATAAGATATGAAGCTTGTATGAAGAATCCTATTGTTGTTCTAAATTTAATTTCAGAGTATACGGAAGAACCTCGAAAGACGTTATTGAATGATGCAGGACCACGCGGAGGACGTAATCTTTTTATTCTTTTAAATATATGCAGCATCAATGACTCACGTTCTTCTGATAACTCATTTTATCTGCAATCTTTTTTTGTCTTTTCAGCGCCTGAGTATATGGGCCTTCAGATCACGGCAGTCCATGGTATTTTATTATGCAGAAAGTGGTTCAGTTGTTAAAACGATGCAGCTTTGCATGGTTGATTGATTACGTAGAGAATAATGAAGCTTGTGCAGTATTTTTGTTTTAGATTTGTAAGATGCTTTTTATAGGTGGCTATAGTGGAAGAGGTCGTGGTGGACCACCTAATGACTACAGTTATCATGAGGACCGTTATGGAGGTAGTTACGGAAGGGGTCGTGGTAGCTATGATGACTATGAAGCAGGGTATTCAAGAAGTGAAGGGTACGTGAGAGGAGATGGTTATTCTCGCGGAGATGTATATTATGGAAACAGAGGAAGTGGTCGAGGTGGGTTTGGTCGTGGAGATAGTGGCTATGGTCGAGGAAGTTACGCACGTGGAAGAGGTTACCTATTTTTTCAAATCATTCTGTTATAATCAAATTGTGAATATCAAGGAAGTAGTAGTTTTTGCTGTAAATATCGAGTAAATTCTATCATCCAAGTATAGATCTGTTTCTCACAATAAAAATGATCAGTATAAAGGTTTGTTCAGAAAAAGATTTGTTTCAGAACTTGTTTCTACTATACGTTAATAGAGTTTTTAAAGTTATTCAGTTCTTCAGTTTAGTGAAATTCTTACTTTTTTAATGTCATATTATTTTTCTAGGAAACGGTAGTGGCCATTATGATGATGATCGGGATTATTACAATGGCGATGGTCCCGTGATGATGATTTATGGCATTGATCAGGATAATTTCAACTGCGATAAACTATTTAATTTGTTATGCCTTTATGGTAATTGTGAGAAGGTAATTCAAATCATTTGTTGAGTTTTGTTTGAAAATGAAAAAAATCACATAAATTTTTGATAATCTTGAGCTGCTTTATGATATCTATATTTTAAACTCGCTGAGTACCTATTATTGTCTTCTCTGTTCCACTCAAATTTGTTACAGTTTTGATCGATTTATATTATTCAGATTAAATTCATGAAATCAAAAACAGATACAGCAATGGCTCAAATGGGAAATGTACGTCAAGTCTATACAGCTATTGATAATCTTCACGGAACCGTAATTTTTGGCAACAAACTTGCTCTGCGACCTTCGAAACAGCAAGTTTTGCATGAAATACGTGATCCATTCATATTACCAGATGGAACACCCTCATACAGGTTAAGCATTTAAGGAGTTTAATTTTCTATATTTCAGAATGTAGTAAATATATATAGCTTTTGAGAAATGGACATAGTTAATGTTCTCTAAATTAGTTATAACTCTTAACTGCAGTTTATTTTAATACTTAATATAGTGTCACCGTTCAGAATTTAAAAATGTTGAAGGGATTTTAACAACAGTCGTAATCAACGTTATACAACACCTGAATTAGCTGGGAGGAATCGAATTGTGAAACCAACGCATGTGTTACACTGGTATAATGCTCCTGTAACGATGACAGAAGATAAATTGAAAGAGGTTGTGAAAATTGAAATTCTCAAAACTTTGTATACCGAAATTATTTAATATGAGAGAAAAGCTCAAGAGTTTTACTTTTGATTTTCTTCCCTACTGTTCATTAGTTTTAGTATTGTGTTCGCTAATTATCCAAGCCATATGTCATTTGCTTTTTATAATGAGATATATGCAGCTCTTTGTGGACAAGGGAGCAGTTGAACCAGATAAGATAATCATTTTTCCACAACGTTCGGAACGCAGTTCGGCAGGAATATGCGAGTTTACTAGTACTGAACGAGCGACAGAAGCACTGATGTTAGCTAATCATACACCTGTGGACAGTCCTGGTAAATTCCTTTCGCATATTCATCTCTTTATCATGATATTTCGTTAAATACAAGAGGCTGATGGACTACCTGACCAATCTTAGATTCGAGACTCAAGTTTAAGTTTTTCACATTACAAATAGGGAACAATGATTCGACACTATAAACTTCGGTCAGACTAAAAAATCGGAATTCTCGTTGTATTATTACAGTTGGGAAAGCACCATATATTGTGAAGCTAGCATTCGCAGGCGGTCGTGATGGTAAAGACTTCCGAATATGAAAAACCAGATTCGCAGTTTCGTGCCCAATAAGTTTGATATTTGTCCGTGAGTTTGTTCCTCTTTTGTACTAACGACGGTCTATTAAAATATAAATACGACGAGAAATTTCCCCTGCCTTCTCCCTTTATTGCTTAAAGCATTGTATGAGCCCTCCATTTGCGTGGGCAAGATCTGTCAAACAGTTTACATAATTGTTCTGAGCATTTTTTCTTCTCATGCATTTGATATGTTGAACAATTTTTACTATATTTTGGTGAGTTTTGTCTTTTACATATGAGTATGGTTGCATAGTAGTAGTGTGCAAAAATAAATTAATATCAATTTAGATTATGATATAACGAGAAATAAAGTAGTTGATCACAAGTTGTGTTTAAAGTGCGCACACTGTATAAATTGACGGCGATATTCAATTACATGATGTGGCCGAAGATATTGGAATAACAGCACATCCAAGAACACCCTTACCAGACCAGATTTGTGGCACAAGGTTCAGTCGTATTGGCCTGTTGTTCCTCAGTACAGTAACACGTATCGATTTCTGCATTAAATTCGTTGCATTATACTACAAATAGAAAATGAAAGCTAGTTGTACTAACTCTTGTTTGAACTATGTAAACATTTTCTATTGGTTAGTACAACTATCTAAAGCAAATACATAGTACAAGTGTTACTCCTTTGGTCGATGGATGTAATTCGTACAGACTGCGTTTTGACTAGTATGGTTTGCATCAGTAAAAACTTAGTAGGATCTTAATCTCATGAACGAGAAGTAAGCCTCTCAAAGAAAACCAAAGGTCCTATCGTCGATCTCTGTTATGATTCCTAACTTATGAGAACCTCGTGAAATATAATGCAATCATGCACTTACTAGAGTTTTATGGAATATTTGAATATTTCTCACTAAAAAAATACTATAGTTTCTTCATCTAGACAGAGGACGTATCGAACTTCGGTGGTTGTTAACCGAATTATTTGTTTACTTCTTCCACATAATGAGTCTTTTTTATAATGACTGTCAATGGAATGCTTCGCTCATTTCTTCTGCATTAAAGCAAAAGTAATTGAGGTACAGTATATTTTGTTTTCTGCGACTGCTTTAATAAGAAAAGTATCTTCAAGTCGCTAACATATCTTAAATTCGATAAGTGAAAGAACTTACATTTATTGACTTCTGCACAATATCAGTAAGTTCATTCATATTTTTAAAATTGTCTGCGTGTAGCCGATCGAACTGTATTACTAGATCATCTTCTTTCAGGCCCTTAATATAAAAGAGTTATTATATAAAGCTTATATTCTTCGGCAAAAGTTCGATGTAGCTTGTCTTCCATATTTTGTGAGATGTCAAAGATTTCGCAATTAAATGGATGGTACTACAGTGGAGGCAGGCAGAACACATTCATGTTCTACAAAACTTGTAAATAACAAATAAAATCTCGAATGAGAGTTTAAAAAACTAACCGCTTCAAACGCAGGAGAGTCGTTCGTTATTTTAGATATTCTTACGAAAGGAGTATTACTAGTACGATGAACAATAAGATTCTCATCTGATCCTTCATTTTCACTGCAAAACTGTATAACACAGAAGAGAAAATGGCGAGAAAGACTGAGTCATTAATTATTACGGATAGTTGTTTGTAGCACTTGTCAATGTCTCTCAACCACTTATTGCTGGTAAGGAAGTTATGCACACACTTATAATCAGTAAAAGATCGTAATCAACAAACGTAGATAAGTACTGATAAAAATTGCACACTGATATGTAATTTCTGCAATTAAAAAATTCGATCTACATTTAAACAAGCGTACGCCATTGAACCTGCATGCTGATAAGCAATTTCGCTGCTGTTGATGTAATGTCTGCATAGCTTTTTCAATTTCATATGTTAATTTTCGGCGATCATTCTGAGCACATATAATTGCATTCCGAGCTCGTCTCACTGAGTACACATCAACAGAAGTAATAGGATAACCCTCCTGATCTACCAAACTTTTCTTCATATCGATGTTGTTCTTAAACAGATTGATTTATATGCAACTTTGAGTATAATAGCAGTTCATCTTTATAATTTTTCTTAATATTTTCGCGAAATTCAAGATTGCATCAAATCAGTCTTTTTTCAAGCTTTCTGCATTTAAAATAGTGATTGGTGAATGAATAAATTTGACTCAACTCGAGATAAATAAGCTCATTTTAAATATATGAAGTAAATATGAATGGCAAACGTACCATCTTAAGAATTTCTTCTTCTTTTGCTATCTCTCGGTCAATTTCATCACGTTCAGCGATCATTTTCTTTACTGACTCCAGTGTCACTTTGGAATCTTCAGGCTGCCCTGTTTCCATAAGTATAAAGTAACAAGTATTACCTAGTACCAAATGCTGAAAACAAAATCATCACTTGCCTTTATTATTAAGAGGAAGTGCTCATTAGCGAGAGCTCTTAAATCTGATCTTTCCATATTATTTGTAATGGGTACACCTAGACACTTATCTCTTTTGTTTTGCTACCATTAACAGAATACCGTCCCAACCATGCTCATAATACTATTCATCTTTATGTATTTTGAATTACAAGAACTAATAAATCAATTACTCCCGTATGCTGACTCTAGCTAATTAATTTAATAAATACGAAGTAGGAATGACGGCCTAAGAGAGTACAGTTTACAATTAATGATTGAATTCATGTATTTCATTACATGTATGCAAATGCTTCTTGACTATAAAAGATTTACCATGAGTTTGTCAACCTTGACTACTAGGCAAATTGTTGCATATTATGAGTAAAATATATCAGGACCACTTTCTCATCAAAATGACAAATTTCATCAGCATAAAATATATCAGGATCACTTTATCAAATAATGCACAAAATAAAACGCAACGGATGTAAAAAGACAAAAGTTTCATGAATTAATGCTACAATGATAAAACAAGAGCTAATACATATATATATATATATATATATTCCATTAGTGGAATGGAATTTAATATGCTCTTGGATTTTTAATCGTTGAATAAATAAATAAATACGATGATGGCAAACAAAGTAATAAGAAACAATATAGAGCTACAAACAAGCATTTGTATTGCAATTTTAGAAACAACAGAATACAAGGAAGGGGTGCCGATATTCAATTACTGATAAACTCATTAGTAACGAACTAGGGAACACTGTTCTACGCACTTCTTTTAAATTTTGAATGTAAAACTTATGCACAGATTTTAAAAAAACTTTAAATCCTTCACGGAGCTATGTATACATGGGCAACAATTGTTATGTCCATTAGATGTACTGTTCACTCCATTCGTTTAAACAATTATATGCTGACAAAGCATGGTTACTACTAACTCCCGCTACATCCTGGAATATAAAAACAGTAATGCATATTTAATTCACTGCTGTCTAACATTACACTAATCTTGACCAGTAAAAGTAAAAAAAAAAAGAATATCCCTATACTTACCTTTAACCAATCAATGAAAAGTTCTTTTTCCTTCTTCAAAAGTAAAAATTGTCCGAACAACACATACGCCTGAAACCCTTGACTTGTTTTCATATCATATGCAGAATATTTTCACATTAGGGAACTTATATTCTAATCTATTTACTTCACGTATTTATATCGTAAGTATGAAACTTCCCTTACGTATCTCAAAGCGGATAATAAGTTTTTAATGAATAAAAACTGAATAAAAACTGGCTTTATTAAATCAATCAATCAAAATAATAGAAATATTCAAAAATAAAACGATAAAAATCGCTTGTAATTTGCTGACTGCTACTTGTAATAAATAAAAAATTGCAGAAATGATAACTTAACGAATTTTTCACAAAGTACAATGATTACTTTATCAAATCCAGCTTTTGTTAGCTTCTCACCATATGTTGGACCAATTCCTGCCACAGCAGTTACTTCTTTTTCTCCCATTGGTTCGGATACGAATTCACGATGTTTTACAGACGTACTTGTCATTTTTGACTGATAATTTTCTCTGTGTTATCGTAACTTTTTGCTAGCTAAAAATTATACAATGTAAGCTTGGTGAGAAACAATGAACAATGCTTGCAAACATTTTATTAAAACTGACAAGTAATTGATGCAAATTTAGTCTGGCTTAGCTTCAATTCTACAAAATCAACTCATGAAGTGCACTACCTAATTGTAATACGGCGACTTCAACCCATCCCACTTCATTTTTGACCTTTTTACTTATCCAAATCAAGACACTCCTGTGTCTTTTCCTAACAAAATCAGCACTATATCGAATTCCTCTACTTCTCTACCGTTTAGTACATTTCTCTCATTCTCTATTTCAACAGCATGCAATTAACCGTATAACTATTTTTTGATCTTTCCTCAAAAATGTCTCCTTCTTGTAATGCTTCCTCTTCCTCCGCTTCTTGAACTTCCTCTGCATCTCTCTACAAAGATTTTGATTCTCTCTTCTACACTTCTTAGAGCTGTAGCAGTCTCTTTTACTCTTCATGATACACTATCTTTTTTGCTTCCTTGCTTCCAGTGCGTCCTCTTCTTCTACCATTCTCTTTCATTCTATTAGACGTACGAACAATTTTTTGAATTTATATTGTTCCAGATCTCATTGCTTTACAAACTACAAATGCTTTGCTACATCTCCGGGTACAGTCATCCTTATAATTTCCGGGTTATGTGTAATATGTGCAAGGAAAACAGGTACTTTCTATTAGAAGTATCCGTGCTTGTCATATTCAGGCTAGTGCCTAGTGCTTAGTGCCTGAAGTATAACAAGCACGTATTTTACAACTATTAAGTTTGTTGGTCTTAAAACTCCATGCAGTTATAAAAAGACTAATTATTGATTTTTAAACAAATATAAAATTGCCATTAGTAATAGACCAGTATTAAACTTTTTTGATGGGTGCACTGAAGATTTAAACGGTAATGGTAACAACTGTCATTCCAAAAAAACCATGTTGCAATGGTGCTATGCGTCCTGAAACTAATATAATTAGTTCGAAGGCAAATTGTAGGTCAGGAGGTAGATGTTGTTTACTGCGACTGCAATACTGATGTAGTTGTGTGATGGAGAAGTATGAACATCTGATCGGTGGTTTTGCTGGTGGTATAGTTAGTACCATTGCTTGCCATCCACTAGACCTTCTCAGAATACGTTATTCTGGTAATAATTTTTATTATTTTTTTGTTGAGAGAATCACTGCAATAGTATTAGTTGCTTATGGGAATTCTTTTTTATCAAAATATATATGGATGAACTTTTGATTAATGAATATTGCTTCTATTTGTAAAATATATGTATTTATTTGTTTAAATTCTTAGTATTAATAATCATATCTGTAATTTTTTTTACATCTTTAGCTAATGACGGTAGCCTTCAGCGTCCAAATTATCGCAGTTACTGGCATGCTACACAAACTATTGTTGCACATAAAGGATATAAGGGATTATATCAAGGTTTATCACCAAATTTGATTGGCTCAGCTGTATCTTGGGGACTTTATTTTCAAATGTAACGTCGTTCATTTTTGTTAAAATATTGCTTGAGTTTTTCAACATATGACCTTGAAGCTGGTGAAATTTCTGGGAAAGACTTTTCTGATGGTTTTTCTCTTCGAATTAACATAGCTTTATTTGTAGTTATCACATCGTAAAAAATTTTTGCACGAGAGAAAAAATTTCGACGACAGTGGAACCTCTGGATAATGTATTGCTCGGGATGATTACTGGTGCTGGTATTTTGTTGTTCACAAATCCAATTTGGGTGACGAAAACTCGATTATGTTTGCAATATGAGACGCAGCAAATTAAATATAATGGATGTCTAGATTGCATTCGAAAGATTGCTAAAAATGAAGGATTTTTATCCTTATACAAAGTCTGTTTTAACTCTTGCAGATTTGTTTATGATTATTTCAAGAAATAAGTTTTTAGTGAGTTCGAAGAATTGGATTAATAATAATTTTTACCATCATTGTTTTTATCTTTTTATCATTTTTTAGATCATTATTATTTTCATCTTTTTGCACATTAAAATAGGATTTTGATTGCTAATGATTGTTATGCTTGTTAAGAATTAAGAACAGTCATTAGTATTTTTGCTCTTTAAGGTTTCAGAAAACTTGACGAACAGTCTTGTCACAGCTTGGTCGATAAAGATTAAAAATAAAAAATAGCACTATTAAGAATAAAGGTAGCAGCAAAAACAGGTATCTACAGTTATGAAAGTTACTGGTTATCTTAGCCAGACTATATTTTGTTGAGATATAGTGCAAGTTGTAAGAATTAGCTACAATATTTTACATTCGTAAATAAAAGGTATTTAGCAGGATTTGAATTGTCATAATATCTTCCGTCGTAGTCTGTATCTAATGTTTAGGGCTTTGTACCGGGAGTTATTGGAACACTTCATGGTGCTATACAGTTTATGCTTTACAATCGTTTCAAGGATGATCGTTTGAAACGTTTAGATCTTCCATCAAACCACATCTTGGTTTGATTTTTTTTCTTGTAAACTCATTTTCATGTCATTATATTTATTCTAATATGCTGTTCATTATTATATACCTTTAAAGGGGTTCTAAAGATTGCGAAACTGCTTACATAACTCACTATTACTATTGACATTGTTTCATCGTTACTTTTTTTCAAAGGTTTTATATGTTTAGGGTACTACAGATTGCTTGCTTTATTCGAGTGCATCCAAAATAATTGCTACCACAGTGACATTTCCATATCAGGTGTTGAGAACGAGGTTGCAGGTAATATTAGTAATTTTGGTATATTTGCCATCAGAAGGCTCACTTATTTACATTATGGTTTTTAATTTTTGTATTCAGTGTTGCCAAATAATAGATATTTTCAGGACCATCATATAAAATACAATGGAATGTATGATATGATGAGTAAAACTTACAAAGTAGAAGGTGTAAGAGGTTTTTATAAAGGTTTGTTAATGGGCAACCTACGACAGTTACCAAATGTTATTGTTACATATGTTACTTATGAAAATGTGAGGCACCTAGTTCGCCATTTTTCTTAATTAGATTTTTGATTACTTATCTACTTTAGACTGCAATCGTTTTACTCATCAATGTCATTTTTCAGTTGACGCTAATTCTGTTTCATTTTTCATTCAGTATGCGATAATGGGAAGTTGTTACGTCTCTTTTTTTGATGCTTAGTGTGCCTCTTGTGTTTTTGAAAAAGCGCCTTTCCGTTCTCTATCGAAAATTTGATAACTGCAGCTATTGCAGTGCAGTTCAAACGCAAAATTTCTTACTGATGTGCTTTTTACATCTTGGTAATGATCTTTTTAAATCCATTATGCTCTCCTTAATTTTTTACCTCCGTTCTAAATATGAAATATTAATTTGATATTATAGGATTCTCAGAGATGACCTAGCTTTAATATCTGAAATGTAATTTCGTAAGGTTATACGTGAAACATGTCAATTTTTTGTATATAAAATGCGGTATAGTATTAACATGAAGACGGGAAGATTTGATTTTGAGTTAACATTACTGGCGATTGAAGGTCATTATTTTACTATCATGTTCGTTGATGGGATTCGCTTTTGATTTTTTTTTGTCATAGTTTATTTTCAATTCTTTGAAAATAACGAATGTACTATTGGTTGTAATATAATTCTCCAGAAATATATCACATTGTTAGTTACTGTTTTTATGAAATAGATGGTGGAACAGCTAGAGAGATAGCGATGTTGAAGTGTGCGTCCATTTCGCGATAAATTGCAACACATCAGTAATGTTCTCCGTTGGCTTCGTTTTGTGTTTCATTATGAGATGATTCCAGGTGTTGAGATCGGCTACTTTCGAAGATCCAAATTCCTTAACTGTCCCATATGTAGGATAGCCTGAAAAAACTAAGTATATTTCTTGTCAATATTGCAATAATCATTATCAAGTGTACAGCTATCGTGTTTCTTTCATATATGTTAGCTTTAGTGAGAAATAACCTGAAATAATGCATGCAGGATGTAGGTGACTGCTTGCATCAAGTAAGCTGACTTCGAAATTGCCGTTGTTGTCGAGAGGAAGTCCTTGTTCCATATTTTGATCTACAGACATGGCTAGTACCCATTCCTTCACTTCTTCATGTTCAAAGTTCTAAATATTGCCGAATCGTGATGATGTGATAGTTCGGGATAAAGTATAGTTGGTCTGATATTGTATTTAAAAGAATTGTAAAAATTAACAGTTGTAAATTGAGCCTGAGGTAGTGGCACTTCTTGCGGTATATCTGTTCCTTGGAAAATGGTGCCATCCACAGAGGAGGGGTTCTGATCCTCAATTGCATCACATAAATCTAAATAATAGTTAAGTAGCAAGAATGCCAAACGCTCCTTCTTCATACTTTGTTTCTGAAATTTTATGGTATAATATTTTGTAATAAGAATTAAAGGAGAATAAGTAGTAGTTTTCCGTATTTGTGATTTCCTTGAATTCTGTTAAATCTTGAAATGTCGCTGCACTAGAACATGCGGTAATATCGGATAACAGAACTGGTACAAGAGAGAATGATCAAATTTTATAGTCATTGCAGGTCAAGATTAGAACTTTTTATGCCTGCCTAATTTAGAGAAAAATATATATACTAAGGATATGCATGATAGTTTTTATTAACTTGAGATTGACTGACTTTACATGCCATTCCAGCTTCGTAAAAAACTTTATCAGCCTGCATAATATCGCAGTATCGAATCAAGCTTATAGAAATTAGGTTTGCAACATTTTCCATTTCCACTGCTCCATAACTGAGAAGCGCAGATCTTAATGCCCCGTAATGAGCTATTTCCAAATACCTCCCGAATATCTGCTAATATAAGTTTAGGTAAATAAGACAAATTTAATTTTGTGCTGAAAGCAATGAAAATTTCTTTAGTTGAGAACTCTTATATAAAGTACTCCTCATATCAGGATGAAAAATCATACGTCTGTTGGCGTTTTTTTCTCGACCATATCTTCGCAAATCATAAATAACATATTTCGAAGCGATGCCCATTTGGTGTAAACCTTTGCATCGTTCATGTCACGTCCATTTATTACCTTGCAATCATAAATTTATCTGCTCAGAATTAGTACTGAAGTGATGGAGAAACATGACAGATAAACTGTTTGTCACAAATCCTTGGCATATAACAAAGAGAAGCTCGTGAGAATTAAGATAAGCAGACATAACTTCAATAATTAGCTCTAATTAATTAAAGCCGAGTATGAATAGAAATATGCGTTTGAATAATTCCTCATCAGAAATAGTCATGTTTACAAACTACATTTAAAGGTTCAAGTAACGAAATCATCGCAATTCGTTTTAAGAGTTTGTCTTGTATTGTATTTGTGGAAAATACTTATGATACACCAAAATTATATCTGATGATTTGTAATTTCTCAAATTTCTAAACATACATTCATTTTTTATTCTACTTTGAAACAGAAAACAGAATTAGCAGTCTTTTAGCGAAGTAATTTATTCTCAAAACAACTACAAATAATCGTCTCAACTTTCTACCTTCTCTATAAGTTTTTGATAAATGTGGAAATTGTTGGGATTTGATGATGCTCCAAACTTTTCAAAAACCTCAATCGCTTCGAAAAATCGTTCATCTTTAATCAGTTGAAAGGCATAAAGTGCGACATATTTATCCAATAATGGCTGATGCTACAAAAAATATATTTACGATAAAATTGATTTTTTCTTTTCTTATGCAGATGGGGAAATCAGAAGTATATTGAGACAAACATTTAAAAAGAAAGATTAATTAGAAATTGGTTACTTTTATGGTTAATTATTACTGTATTGAATTATGAGGGAAAAAGCAGGATACTTTTTCCGAATCGCATACTCAATGAATCACTGATTAGTTGCTTCGAAACTTTAAACATCTTTCTAATGTTCTAAAGCTGAATTTGCATAACTCTCCGGCAACTATTTTTTAAACCATAACCTTATGTTGACGAGCAGTTTCGAGAGCTTTGATCCATTCTCCTTGTTCCACCAACGCTTCAATGCCATCAATCACATCCACGTTTATCAATTCCCCAAATCGGCCTTCGTTTTTCAACGATTCCTTGAATTTTTCATCAACAAACCCAACCATTTCTGGTGCCAATTCCATTGCAACCTCAAAAGTTATTCTGCCGTAAATACTCTAAATCTTATGCTAAGTTAATCTACTTACCTTTTTTGCTTTCGTCCACTGTCCAGCAAGCAAAAAAGCTTTAACAGCACTTTCAGGTCGATTTGATGTCAGAAACAATTCCCCTGCCTCCAGAAATCTTAAATCTGAGAAAACTTTGAAAGCTGACTCAATCAGTAGCCTATACTATTATGTATACTATTATATAAAGGCTACGAATATTAAATTAGTATATTTTACTTGCTGCATTCTCCACTACATTTCACTAGCTGAAAAATCTCTTGTTATCACATTTCTATGAATATTTTGCTCTAAATAGTGAATTATTTAATCTTTCAAATTACTCAAAAAGATGCGTTTAGCAAATTAAAAATAACTGAAACACTGTGTTCTAGTTATTTCCAAAAATAAAACAAAGTAAAAAATGTTCTTTATATGATAAAAATTACCATAATCTAACATGTATCAAGCAGTGTAGACAAAACAATCGTCATTAAGCTCCGAAGTCTTTAATTTTAACATACATTCCCTTCCCCATAATACAAGAGATTGCGTCAGTATTGTTTACACAATCTTATTATTATATTTCAGATTGAAATATTATTATATTTTGAGATAATATATAATAATATATCTAAAATTTAAATATTTTTTGAACTTTAACTTTACCTTTTGAAGGAAATAAAACCTTCGGCAACTGAATCTATCACTGCAGATGCTTTCTGTTCTGGAAGAAATTTCACTGCTAATTCTCCGGCCTAGAATTTAATAGTAACACATCAGCATTTTCAACTGAAATCCTAAATAATTTATAAATTATACACCACGTTCTTCGTCTGAAAATTATAAGATAATAAAATTCATGATTTTCAAGTACATGCTCAAATATCTATCCTGTCTAGACCATATATTTCAAAACTATGCAGTTCAAATGTCATTACTTTTTACAGCCAAGTAAATACACTGGGTATTTTCATTCAGAATTTCAAATTTTAAAACCTATATATATACGATGAAGTGATATCATGCTGATGAAATTATTGAAAATGCCTGCTTAAACATGAAAAACTGTTATAACCTATGGTTTTAGTTGAATGCAACCAGGAAAATTGTAATCATGAAGAATACCCGTTTCAAACTGTCAAGAATGACATCGTGACCGGCACCGTCTGCATCCTTAACTTTTAGGTAACATTCGACCGCTCGAACATACTCTCCCTCAGTTTCCCATTTTCGAGCTTGCGCCATAAATGAAATTGCGCCTTTGGCACCAGATTTCAGCTGGACTTGATCGAACTGCTCCTGAATTCTCATTTGTTGAACTCGTGTAATTATATTCGTGAAAACATTACCTCCATATGATTCACTTAGTACTTAATTTTTTTTACTCTGTTTGATCATTTTTCAAAATGTATTTTATCTAACTTCCAGTAGAAAATTCATAGGGAAGTAAAAAATAGAGTTGATAGAAACTGTTAAAATTACGAGAATTGTTCTCATAAAAACTTATATTTTGAAGCGAACTGCAACAAACAGCAGTACTATTCATCTTACAATTTTACGAGAGGTTATACGAGTAATTAAGGTTATGCACTAATTAATTATTTTTATGTTTGCAAATATACGTTCAGATACAAACTTCTAATTCTTCAAGTGCTATCGGCAAATAATCCTTTGCAATTCGAATTGCATCTTGCCACATATCAAATTCCTTGTAGTAGTGGAGAATAAGTTCAGGACGATCTGCGCGTAGCAGACAGCTCTCAGCTCGAGGGAAATCTTTTTCTTCGATGGCCAAACGAGCCTGCTGAATGTAAACTCCAGCTAGCATGTCTGGACAGTATTCTCTATAAATTTTTTTCTTTTACTTGAACCCTTTCAAGTAAATAATAATCCTTCGGGCACAACCAGTTTAAATTCTGCTAGATTTTCCAAAATGTATTCTGTTTAAGCGTCGAATTTAAATATCTTTCGAATGATTAAAAGTAAAATAAACAAAAATGTTGAAAAAACAAGCAGATATGCACATTTAAGTCTATAAAATATTTAAAGCATACAGGTTAAAAGAGTTGGAATACATTTTTGCAGAAAGTTACTAATAATTTAATGCATGCCAACTGATACACAGAGAGCTACACGTCAAGTAAAATAGAACTCACTTAGCAATACGTTCAGCACTCTCCCAGTCCTGATCATGGACGTACATCATAACAGCTTCCTTAGATTTTCCGCCTTCGATGTAATGTACCTCGGCTTCCTTCAAACTACCTTCTTCTTCCAGCTGTTGAGCTAACTTCATATGAACCCCTGACAAACGATTTTTTGCTCCTGATCGACACAAATAGAATGCAAAGTCGAAATCCCTCAAATATTCTTAATTGAATAATGGATCAAAGGACAAATGTTGCCAGATTTAACAACGAATACAGATTAGCTTTTTAAGCTTTGCTTATGTTGTAATCATGGTAATGATAGATCAAACTCCAGAAAATGCTTTACTCAGGCTGCCGAACAATGCTAATGAAAACTTTAAAATACATATTTAATTACCTATTATCACACGCGTAGTTAATTGACTCGTCAAGTATTTTGAATTTTCGTAATAATTTTACGGCAGCCTCTGCGTTCAAACTTTTTGCCCACCGATAAATTACCTGTAACATGAACTATTCTTCTTTCAGTCAAACATAGGTAGTGGCAGTAATTCACTCATCTACCTGATTCTGTGCGAGCTCTTCACCTTCTTGCTTTGCAACTCGATAAGCATCGTTCCATAGCTCTGCGTTCTGATACATATTCACTGCTAATTTCCATTCCCCACCAAGAAGGTAATGCTCTTCTGCAGCTCGTAAATCACCTTTTTGTTCCAAATCGGTTGCAATGTAGACGTGACTATTCTATAATTACTAATCTAATTTTAAACCCATTTATCATTTATCAAGAAAGTCAGTGTTCATATGATTTTGGTAACAGCTTTCTACATGTATAATACAAAATATTTTCATCATCAAAACTGACCTTAGCATCCTCCACATGATATTTTTCAATTAATTTTAGCATGTCATCGATGCACTGTGCTTTTTGATACATGGTAATAGCCTTGTTTACTTGTCCAGTAGCAATGTATAACTAAATACGAATGAATTAAATGCAAAATGTTTGTGTATCCAAATTTACACAATCCATGCCCTTAAACACTGTATTAGTCAGTGTATTAATTAAAGATGATCACACCTCTTCAGCATCCTTTCTGCGGTCATTCTCTTCCATACTTTCGGCTAACTTACCGTACACTTCAGCACTTTCTTCTTCCCCCATGAACTCCACCGCTAACTAAAATTTATTCTTAAGTTTCCATTCAATATTTTAATAGTAATGTATTCCAGTAAAAAATTAGAGTGGCAAAAGGATATAGTATTTCAAATTTTTAAAACTGATTCATCGATTTTCAATATCTCAAATCCAATAATTAAACTTGGACGATTTTTAATTTATTTCTCAGTTTTATGTAATATAAAGCAAAGAGCTTAATGACTAACTGAATAAAAATAATTGTACGTAATAGTTAAAGCAAGAGAGAGTACAAGTTATGACTGTGATAACAAAAATGAGGACATAGTCATAGGTATTGAGGTACCCGATATGAATCAGTCCATCGAGCAGCTTTGTTGTACATTTCAATCGCTTCTTGATGCATTTTTGCTTCAACATAGAGCATTTCTGCTTGCTGCATTTTCTTTATTTATTTCACTTGATTTTTTAAAAGATTCACCACAGATTAGGAAAAATGACAAAGTTATTTATAACTGAATATTTGTCTGTTGAATTATTTGAAGTTTAGATATGATAGAATGCATAAAAATCACTGATAAAAATGTAACAAAACATTTAGATGTGTCATTCTCAAGTTTAATTCTGTAAATATATTAAAAAAATAAGTACAGTATACCTCAAGATCACCAATGCTAGCATAATAATCTGCAATTTTCCCATAATATTGTTTAGCCAAATGACTATCTTCTAAAGAATTAGCTATCTGCGCAGCTTTACTCCATTGACCAGCTTTCATTGATGCTTCGAGAGCTTTCAAAGTTTGTCCGCTTTCTAACAAAAAAAGCAATTAAAAATTTTGCCTTGGTTTTTTATCACAAAATCAGTAGTAAATCTTGAGTGATAATAATGGATATTGAGATAAATCATGAACCAAGAAAATGACTGATGGCAGCATCATAATTCATTTTTTCCATCAAATGATCGCCCCATTCTTCTTCTAATAAAATAACTTCTTCTGGAAAATGCACTCGAGCCAGCTAAAATTGAAAAATAAATTTTACTTAAGCATTTTTACGTAAATCGTTAGAATATTAGCATCACCTGAATTGCTTTTGCATAGCATTTTCCTTGTTTGTAGTTTTGTAATGAATGCTCGAAATTTTTTATTGCCTCCAGTAATTCGCCAGCCTGAATTTTAATGATTAAATAAATATATGTAAATAAAGAAGCAGTTGAAATGCAGGCAATAAGGGAGTTTAAAAAAATGCAACCTTTTCAAATAAATCAGATCGCACTAATGCAGCAACGACTTTTTCTACTAAATCATTTATGCAGAGCAGCTTAGGATTCTGCAAAAGTATTCGAGCCGCTTGCACAGCGAAGCTTGCTTTCAAGTATAAATCTATGGCACTCATCAAATCACCATCACGTTCTGATATCTAATATATGGAAATAAGTCAAAAAATACCTACTTTCTATCATATTTTATTTCATTTTCTTGATATCATATTTCTTAATTTGGTCAATTATGAAACTTCAAAAAAAAGAAGTGATTTTATATAAATTATTTTTGATGCATTAAGGCTGTTTAAATTGTAAGTACGAAAAATGCAAATAAACATTTTTTTTCTCGTAGTAGAGCAAAATATAATATCATTAAAACCATGGAATAGAAAACAACCTGAGCAGCTTTGGCATCTTGACCTGTATCGGACAAATATCGACAGTACTGTGCTTTTAGTGCATCCAAGTTTGGATGATTCTGTAGAACATGAAGAAGTAAACCAAAATTTTTCAGATGCTAAGGATTAATTTTTTTTTTGATTATGTTCTCTTATCATTACTAACTAGAGATAAATACGTAATTTGAATGAATGAGACGAACTCGTGCATAAGCTAATTCAAATCCTTCTTCCCACTTGCCAATTTTTCGATACATTTCAATTGCTTCATCCAAAGCATTCTGCAAAATTAAATTCATTCAAAAATGTCGCCAACAATAATTGTAAAGGTGATAAAATTTTTAAAATTTTATTTAGATGTAAAAACATTAAAATATAAGTTAACTTGCAAAATAAAAAGTTATTACAAAATTTCATTCCCAAATAATTTTATCAGAACTTGCCTGTTCGAGGTAACACTGTTCAACTTCTTTGAAATCCTTCTTCATTAGAGCCAGTTGCGCACGAACCTGACATAAACTGCTAAATCATGAACTTCTTTCTACAGCATCATTTCTTTTAATTTTTAGCATGAGCGAGTAATTCAGTTCAACACAGTTTTCTCAGAATATAAAGATTCAGAGAAAAAAGAAAATGACATGTCTGGACAAGGAGTACCTTATAATTTTGTTTTCCATCATTTTCACCAATTTTGACCACTTCATCAGCAATTCGTATCGTTTGCCAAAGCATTTCAACCCGAGATATATCCCCTAATGCGGCGAAAGATCTTTGTGCGATCAATAACTGCTTCTCAGATAGTGCTATCTAACAAAAAACTTTACAAGAAAGCTCACATTAAAATTTAGTGAAAGTTTTGGATATACTTGAGAAAGCTGACGCCACAAAGCTGAAGTATCACTTTCACTTCGTCTTTCTAAAAAGTCAACTGCTCGACCCAGGTCAAGTCGATCAATAGCAGAGGCAAATTCTATCAGCGTTTGATCTAGCTCATAAGCAACTTTAGCGTTTGTCTCCTACAAATCTTTTTTTGAAAAACTTCTAATTATTATGCTATATCAATTTGAAAATCATTACTGATATTTTTCAAAAATTAGCTTATATTACCAGAATATACTTTTTGCAATTTATGAGATGCTTAATTCAAATTGTCAAATATAAATAGAATTAAATATAGATCAACAAGCAGCATCCGAATTTTAATACTTATTGCTTCTAAATAATATTCATTCTAATTTTTATTTTCTAGAAATGATAACCAGTTTGATAAGCACTTATTACAAGCGAAATAATTATTTGTTTATCTGGAAATGCCTAGTTTACAATAAAATTTAATTTTTTATAAGTAGAATTTTACCTCCTATCTTTGATACTAAAAATTCAAATGAAATGCAAGAATTACCTCAACAATAACTTCTGTTCTGAACTCATCTCGAAGTACAGTCTCAATTTCTCCTTTAATAGGTACCATAACAATCTGCAAAAACAGAATACTGCATGATTTCAAATAATTTTAACGCAAACTGTTGACATTTCTTTAAAGCGAAATTACTTGGTCTGGGTTTTCGGCCTGATACCAAACACAAAGTTGGTCACTTGATTGAGCTACAATAACATCACTGTCTGGAACCCACTGAACATAATTACAGTAATTCAACAATGAAACTTTACGATCAGTTATCAGATCAATTAAGATTAATCGAGATCTTCGATCGCGAAAGAGTAATTTATTTGCCATTTCACTAAGCTGAAAAATAAAAACTGAATTAAAATACTTATCACAAATTACTTATCCTGACTTTGTTGCCTATGTTTAACTTCATAAAATTAATATTATAACTATTCGAAGTATACCGAATATTTAATGTTTGTCTTTCGTTGACAAATACTATTCACTAATTCTATTTATCCTCACTATGTTAAACAGCAAAAATTGTCGCAGATTAATTGCAAATAACAAGTATTACTTCAAGCCAGTCAATGAACACTGAATGTGAATATTGCGCGAGTTGCCGTTGAGATATCATATCCACTGAAAATAATTTGAATTAATCTGCCTTGTGTGAAATTTCTTCTTAATATATTTCATCCTGACAATGATCATAATACTATTAATCAAATAACGTATGATGCATGACAATACATGTATATAAATTACACCAGATTAAGGAATTCAAATCAGCAACACATGCGAAGTTCCAGATGTCCCATAGTAATTCCTCGAATAAAATAACAGTTTAAAATTTTAAAAAGAAAAAAGCGTTCAAATACAAAAGGCAACTTTGAGAACATATCCTTAATGATTAAAGCTTACCAACTGAAATAGTATTAAGGTCAAGAAGATAAGCCACACGTTTAACCATGTGCGCATTTCTTGTTTTGTGCTCCAAAAATCGTGCAGATATAAGATGAGGGGATGTCAGTTCAGTGCGAATCCATCCAGTTATCTCTTTTTTGCCATATTCGACGAGACTGATCTGTCACCATGTAGCTTTTTCATTAAAGTTATCAGATTTGTACAAATGTACCGCGTTCAAATTGTTAATTAAATGATTAGTTGAGTGCACTTATATAATTAACTGCTCATTAATAATTTAAAATTTTGAATTTTTTTTTCAGTTCAAATTGATGAGCACACGAAAAAATGCAAATGTACTGTCAATGTATGCATACCTCACCAGCATTTACTATCATGCAAACATTCTCGTAATCAAAGTAAAACTTCTCGTTACCAGCACTTTGCCATTCAATTTCACTACAACGACCACTGCTCAAATCAGCAATAATCAAAGTGGATGCTGTGTAAGCTACTGCATATCGATCACGTCCCATTACCTGACATAGTTTAATACTTATGAAAATAAATAAAATCAACTCTTTGCTAACTTTAACATTTTCAAAGCAAGTCCAATAAAACATGTCTTCTGATCTCTGGAGAAAACATTAGATGGAGATTATTCAATATTTTAAAAGGAGAGAGAAGTAATTTGAATCAGAAATGATTGCTAATTGCATTGAAAAACTGACTTTAATGTCAGCGATGGATAACTCCTTGGTGGAATGCATTGATACACTGAGGTCATTAGCAGTACTTTTCAAAATGATCTGAGAAGGCGAAATATGTACTGCTTGGAAGTGACCTTTGAGTACTGACCGTTTCAAGCAGCAGTCCAACGTTATTACAGCACCGCATAGCGTTCCCTTCAATAAAATGCAGATTGCACTAATTGAATTATCGAAAACTTTATTTTAGAGTTTAAAAAATAATAATTTCTTATAACGTTATCGACAATAGATCGGTTTTTGACTTAAAAGGAGGCTAAATATTTCTTAATCATATCCTTTAACTACTTAATTAAATAATAAAAGTTTCATAAACTAATAAATGACGAATATCATTTGCTACCAGATAAATGTAAAGTTACTGATCAAAATCACTTTTTTTTGTATTGCATAAGATAATTAATCTATCATTTATCTATTTCCATATGCATCAGAATTGATCTGTGTAAGTCTCAATCCTAAGGTTTTCAACAACAGTAAAATTGACAAAAAGTCTAAACTAACCAAAGCAATAGTTGCACCAGTTGGATTCCACGCCAATGCACTAATTGTATATAAATAACGTATTTCAAAGGGTTTACACTCATCTAAAGCGCCTCGTCGAACATTCCATGAATACAATCGAACTCTGTCATATGCTTGATCTCATGCAAGTAATCAAGAAAATTTTACAAGTCAAGTATAACATGAGTGAGCAATTCCATCATTATGCACAACAATTTAATACAACACGTTAGTATATTATTGTGAAATCAATATTGCATTTTTTGTATTTATAAATGTATGATATTTTAATATTTATAAATTAATATAGTGGACATAAAATACATTAATATAAAAAAGACAAACGCATTAAATATTAAAAAAATACAAATGCATTAATATATAAAAAATATTTGAAAATGAAATAGAATCACCTGTCAAAACTTCCAAACAAAATGCACTGTCCTGTTGTATTGCGGATCCCAACAGTGAACTCTTTCTCGTGACTTGCACAATTACGGTAATTGAACTGTTGTAATATTCGACCACTTTCCGTATATGAAACTATTCGTTGATCGCAGCCTCCGATTATGATACCGTAGTTTGTGTATACCAAAGCATACGGTGGACAATTGTGAGTTAAAATTTTATTCTGTGTTTTGTGCTCCATCGAAAATAAAATAACTGAACCATCACTGTGTCCCGATATGAATGAACGGGCACTGGGCCTGATTAGAAAGGTATCAAGTTCGATAAAAGCCTTCACAAATAATACCATTTATCAAATCTAGTCAAAATAATTCATTTAATTTGGCCAATTTTAATGCCATCATTTTTTGTAATGTATTCAGTTATACGTTAGGGTTCAGTATCATCAATGATTATTACAAGATCTCATATAAATTTTCCAGTTTTCCAATCCTTGACCGCATTTAATTTGTGTATTAAACATTAAAGATTTGAACCGTCCCAAATTTTGAATGATTTTAAAATCTTGATAAATTTACATCTGTCGAAACAAAAATTGTCAAAGAGTAGGACAGTTAAATTCGAATTGTTAGTTCTAACTTAAAACACTATGAATTTGTGCTGAAACCACAGTGTATTGCAAAAAAATAAGTGTTTTATCTAACTTTGTTCACAACTAAGAAGTAGCAACGACTAGAGAACTTCTCAATACATATTCTTTTCTTCGTTAGTTGTCATTCTAATAAGTATGAATAGAAGAAAAAAGATTTAGTCATTCAAGGAATAATAATAATCGTTTTACTTCTGAAAGAATGACAAGTAACAGTGCATATAGACTTGATTTCAGCACAAATTTCTAGAGTAAAAAGTGCAAAAGATGATTTCAAGAAGTAATATCTGATGTAAGTCTTACGGAATAGCGAGAGAGATTACGGGCACTTGTGTACTGTACAAAGTACTGCATTTGTTATTTCGACAAGATGCCAATCTAACTTTACCCTCAAGAAGGCCAATTATTAATCGATCTTCATTTGGCCATAACAGTGATGTAACGGCTGATGTTTGCAGGAATTTGTTACAAATAACTTTTTTTTCATTCCTAAATTTACAGCATTTTTGATAATATTTTTAACCAAACTATATATATGTTGGCGAAAGTCTTTAGTATCAAGTTGATACTATATATATATAATGTCAACTCTATACTCTGTCCAGTTTTCTTGAAGTAATGTATTAATTTTTAAACAAATTATACCACATTTCGCCAACACGATAAATATAAGTGATATTATCAGTCTGACCAACAGCGATACGACTAGAATCAGGTGAGAATATCATTGCTTTTACTTGATAACTCTTCTTTCCATTCTGTAATAAGAAAGTGCTTAATATACAATAAAACCTGTCGATATCAAATACGTGAAGTAATAATTGTAACGTGAACCTTAGCATCGACTGGTTTCGTTGCAAATTTATCACGTCGTTTACCGCTCTCATCAAAAAGAAGTATAACTTGATCTGCATTAACAATTGCCAATTTCCGACCATTTGGTGACCAGTGCATCGCAGCAATTTTTGCTGCTCCATCCTGAATTCATTGTTATGCTCATATTTTTTACGTTATACAAGTTTTCAAATAATAATAATTGAAAGAAGCAAGACAGCAACATCAGCGATGGGGACATACTTCCGATATTATTTTCGTTTTTAGCGAAAAATGCAAACTTTTTACAAATATAACAGTAAACCCCTAATCTTATGAACATTCCAACTTTAATTATGATATCGACTTATCCATACGAATGTTAAACCCATTAACTCGAATCACACAATTCCAACGATCTACCTCCTAATCCACGCTTGAATTATTCCATAACTATTGTGGGAAAATCAACATAATCATTCTACCTGTTGCTCTACTAAAGTTGCTAAATACTTCAGCTGCATTCTGGAAACAACGACCACTTGATCAGAACTGTCATTCGTTGATTAATGACGAAAAATGCGGTACAAGGAAAATTTCAACGCTTTTCATGCAGTTCAGTTACGTTCTCATGGCAACCAATTCATCTCATAGCTGCCACAACGAAGTGCAGAAATCATTTTATAACAAAAAGTCTTTACTTTCATGATCAAGGTTAGCAAAACAATAATCAAGATTTTAAAAAAATTTTTCCAAGTAATAATAATCAATAAGTTCAATTTCGATAATTTCATAACATACAAAGCATATAGATTCATCAAAAGATGGAGACAGTCTGAAAAAAGGTAAGTTTTTCACAACAGATTCTAAAAATGTGACGCACAAAGCAACTCGCTAGAACAACAAATTACAAACATAAGACATTCAGCGAAACTTCTTAATCATGCTACAACTGCGCATATATGTACCTGATCATGGAAGTCAATTCAGATCAAAATCAAGAGAATGGAAATAATAAAGAAATTCTGTTAATGAACTTATCATTTTTTAAAAATATCCAAAGAAGCAATTTGAAGTATGCAATAATGAACTGAACAATGAAACAGCGGATCGACTGCTTACGGTAATACCAGTTATTAATGAAATTCTCATAATTTATTGCAGTACAATTCATTACAGCCATACCATACTGATTCAAAGCATTCCTCGAAAGAGGCCACATAGAGTGATTAGAATTTAAAGCAATTTGAATTTAAAAATTTAGCTTACTGATGAAACAGAAACATAATTCATGCAAGATAAAATTCTGTTTCATTTATACAAAAATTCATCACCATATTGAATGATGTCCGAAATCGCGAGATATTTTTTTTCCCTGTGCTGTTTCAGGATTCACAATGATTCGTTCTAATGTAATGTTATCATTCATCAGACTTCCAACTGAATCCTTCTCTTGTTTACGAACAACACGTGCTTCCTGAAAGTACTGGGATACAATGCATATCTAGACTATAATTAACAGCATATATAATGCTTGACTCCACCGAGATGCTGAGTTTGACTCCGAGCAGGAAATGGAAGATGGAAGCAAGAAAATCCAAAAGATGAACTAAGACAATGGCTTCATATTATTGAATGGAGAAGTGAGTATGTTTCTCCGACTTCATAATGTGCTTGTAGATACTACGTCCATATCTACCAGGAAAGCGGCTATTTTGAAGCAGGAGAACGCTCACAACGCGTATTTGGCAATTATTGACCCTGTCTAATTGTACTAGGTATAAGCTCTTAGACAATCAAACATTGCAAACACTCCTATATACACACCGAGACAAAAAATAAAACTCATCATACAAAGCTATACAAGAGATGAAGGAACAAGCTGTCTTCAATGGATAATTTATCGATGTGGCTACGATGCAGAAACACTGCCCCATAAAATGAATAACCATACAGTTACGTCCAAAATAGAAATATGTTTAAAATTGAGAAAGGGATATGCCAACGCTGTAAGGAAGATGTGACGACCGTGATTCATCTAGCAACACAATGCGAAAAAATATTGTCACGACTATAATAGAAGAAACAATGAAGTGAAGCACTAATCTGTAAAATGCATGATTAAAAAGCATTCTAGTGAACAAGTAGAAATTCTGTTTAGGAGGTACGCAAATGAAAATGTTGAGATAAAAGTCGATACGCGAATAAGAATCGAAATTAGAGTAAGGGACGACTGAATATAATGACCACGACAAGAAGCGACATGAAGTAATGCTGAAAGAGATTGGTATCACTAATCAGGACAGGTTGATAGCAAAAGTATGATTTACTGGCTAATAAATTCGATTCAGAGATAAAATGCAGGACCAAAATAATTTCGTATGCAATAACTTGGGATGGAATTGTAACCAACTTCCATGAATGCTACGCGAAGGAACTTAGTATATCTGATTATCTCGAGGCATAGCAGATTTTACGATGATGAAGCAGAGACAACAAGCAGAGAAGAACTGAGCACACGTCGAGTGCAGAGAGAGTGCCAGAAACGATCCAGCGTCACAATCAATGAAGAGGAAAAAAAAATTGACTTCCATGTTATATTAAATATATATTTATATATTTTTTTGGTTCTTTCCATGTATATATATATGGAAAGAAAAATTTCTGAAAGATATATCCAGTACAAAAAATATTAGCCTCACTCTTCGAGAGAAATGAATCAAGATAATAATTTTTTAGTGTAAAAAGCAAACGAATCAACAAAATCTATTAACCCCATATTTATCAGCAACTTTTTTAGCCGACTTTTGGTATTTTTGCTTAGTAGAATCTGACGACGTCGAATACTCCACACTCTTGAAGAACGATGGATAAACAACAAAGTTTGTAACCTGCCACAAAGGTTCATTCAAACCATAATGCTTATTCATAAATTGCAACAACGACTCCGAAGGTTTATCGATAGCAACATTTTCTGCAGATGATTTTTCATGCTGAAAAATGCAAGTAATAGAAGTGCATTTCTTAAAGTCTGTAACAGCACTAGTACAACAAAAGTAGACCGCCTCTCACAATAAAATGCTTACTTCCAGCATATAATCGAACAATGCATGACCATATCCTTGTCGTTGAAGACTATCATGAACATAAAAATCAAGCACACATAGAGGAGTGACTTGGACCAAACGCATAGAAGGATCTGTTAGATAAAGATTTTTATAGCCAATTTTCAACAATCCTATAATAATACTTGCGTTCCTGAAAACAATGCTGGTAAACAAACAATCCATAAATATACCATATCAAGTGTTTGAATACTTCAATCTTAGTGTTTTCATAATACAAAGAAAATATGTCGGAAGAATATATATATCCATAATAAAGAGAAGAAAGATAATTACACCAAAATTACTTACTCATTATTTGGGTTTTTTTTCCACATCAAGTAAAGCACCTGCCTATCATCTGCGCCGACTAACTTGTCATATGTAGTTAAAGCGCGCCTTAATCCCTGAGCCTAAAGCAAACTTTGCAAATGAAAGTAGAGAAATTAAAGAAGAAAATCCTGTAGTAACTTTTAAATATCCGCAGCCGAGATGAAAAACAGAGACTGAAATTTGAAGTCAACAAACTAGAAAAGCTAATTAACAGAAATGAAATCAGCGGAGCTGAAAACATCTATAACTTTTGATGACTGTTTGGAATAAAATTATACGGCAGTAGAAAGCGCTCCAAAACTGTTGATTGTACTTTCAATGATCTGACATTTTCGCGGATTTAGTTGCTTAAGCATAAAATCATCCAATTTTTGGACAGGAATGTCAGGAAAATATACGCTCAGGTCTGTTGAGACATCCATTAGTTAGTAAATAAACAAACTGAAATTACTGGAAAAAATAATAAATGAATATTCTCACAGGAACGTCGCTTGGATAAGCACATAACAAGAAAATAAAATACAAAATAAGATTATAACAAGAACTGATTGAAAAAAATGGAAATATAGTACTGAAAAAGAAAAGTTCAAGAGTTAGCTTTTGAAAATTTCTGAGTCAATAAAAATGGAAAACCAAGATCATTGATTTTAGCAATGATCACTGTAACAATATACAAAATATATTTCTAAGAAGCAAATTTGAAGATACAATAAGTACATACATCCTCTAAAAGATCGAAAAATTTTAAGAACAGAACTACATTTATCATGAAGTTTTCCCCTAAAATATATTACATGTAGTTTGTCAAAAAACTTCCACTTACTATTTAATCTAGCAAAAAAGTGATATATAAGAAAAGGAAATAATGAGGGTCAAGTTTTATGTCTAATTTGATTTACTGACATTTCCAAAAAAACCAAATTAAGATTAGATCAAACATTAGTTGAATCGCCTCTTCTGATAAAATGACCAAACAATTCACTAGAAATATTAAAGCAATGTAAACATCGATCCGAAGAAAATCAAGAAATACATTTTAGGTTAATCAGGGATATATGACCGATCATATCTATTTCAACCTAAAAGCACGCACATCCCATAGACCTCACTTGTATAGATTTTATTACTAAATAATCTTACTACTTACTGGATCTCCATCATGTTCGGATGTGCTACATCACAGAATTTCACCCAAAACCTGAAACAACTATCTTCTGCGGATAAGCACCTGCTAGTACTAAATTCTTTCCTAACACTTTTTTCGAGTATTCCAAATTGAAGGGTAGTTCTATTACTAATGCGACAAATAAACCAATAAATCGCAATAAAAATGCGAGAACTCACAATTTCTCAGCCATTCGATCATCTCGTGTGAAACCCGCCACAACCTGACCCCTTTCCATGCGTGATGGACTCACAAATGAAATACTCATCCGAAACGAAGCCCATTATGAAGTTTTGCCACTGCCTGCATGAAAACAGCACGGCTCAAACTGAACAAAAAATGCTTCCTCCTGCAAATGCGGCGGATAGCACGCACTAGACCTTTGTTTCCATCCAATCTATCTCAAACGATGCCTTTATTCCGGAGACTCTTGGACAAAACCCCTTTAAAACATACATTTAACAAGTCTTCAATCTGGGTTGTTTTCATCAAACTAACAGTAAGAGTTTGAAATTTACTCCACTACCAATAGAGAAACACATATGATATCGAAAAAATTGGCGGAGCTAGCAACTTCTCACCTTATTACGATTAACAACAGCACTTAAAATTCACAAGATGCGATTAACTTCGTCATTTTCCAGTTTTCAAAAATTTTCTCGCGTTTTTACAACAGCTTTAGTTGAATAGCGAAATTGACAAATTTTGAAACATTCCAACGGATAACTTTATTTTATGCAACACTGTCAAGGTCTTATTATTCGTAGTAGGTGCTTTGTTAGTCACATCTAGTCATTTTGTCTTTTGAGAATAAACTCACTAATGAAATATCACGTATGCACTTACTTGTATCCTTACTTGAGATTCAAAAACGCAAAAATCTGTTTGAGTTAGTAGACACTGATATTTTGATTCTATGATTTTTCCTTTTGATAATGTATTCAATTTCCATGCTTTCATCGTAATTTACTGATATTTTCTTCACATATTACCCTTGAGAAATAAGTCCTAAAAGCTATGACCATAGAAAAATTATGAAATGTGCCTTATCAGGCCATGATGATGGAAAAATTGAGCAATGGCAACAACATGAAATCAGTAAACATCAAATGTAAATGAAAACAGGCGCATTCGAAATAATATAATAAAAATAATGAATCTTATCTAAAGACCATACTAACAAAACATGAAAAACCTGCTCAAGCACAACAAAACATTTATCTAATCGTTCACATTTTGTCTCCTTTGTGAGCACTTTTTTGCAAAAAACCTGCCCCGGCCCTCAAATTAACTGTATCACGCATCCGTTCATACCAAATATTGATCTCAGTCTTGTTGCATAGTTCATAAAATGTTTCACTACCTATGAATGAATTCATCGCACCATAAAATGCCTGTAACCAAGAAAAAAAATATATAGTGGGAGAACGGTCAAAAAACTTCTTAACCATAATTTTTTGAAGAAAAACAAAATATTTTTACACAGCTTATAAAATTAATCACTAATGTAGTAGTGAACATTCAGAAAAAACAGTTGGATCAAAGTTCTGTTCCTGATCATAAAGTTATTGATATTAAAAGGGAAATCTATTTATATGATATGCTATAAAAGAGACCAAATCTGCCAAATTCGGCTCCTGACCACCAAGAAATGACGAATTCCCTAGAGCATCAAGCCACTCATTACAGGCACTGATTAAGAGCTGTCGAACGTCGGCGTCATCATATCTTAATAATAATATTTTTCGTTCCATAGTTTAGAATGTGAGACGACTATAAATGAAGAGTTACTGAAGTTATTTTAAAGAACAGTAAAATTGGTACAAAAAAAACTGGAAATTACTATCCAATACTCAATTGAACCATGCATCAATACGTTGATTTAAATTAAATGATGATTTAAGTAAACATTATTTACTAAGTTGTAACTTCCCGGAATTAGAAGTAATGATGCTCTGATTCAACTTTCAAAACAGAATTTATCTTTTAAAAGAAAGCAACCTTACTTTTTGCGTAATTTCTTGGACAAGATATACATAGCAACTGCTCCAACATAGATAGTAATGTAGCGTTCCCATGCAGGTATCAACTTTTCCCATTGGCCTGCTTCACTGAACCATCGAAACATTTGAATGCACTCTCCCCATGAACGATACACATTTGGTACTATCAGATGAACAAAATGTTCGTCCACCCATTTTCTCCATTTCTCTTCCTTTCTAAATCGTAAGTTATCAACTACGTATAAAATCAGTTAAACGAACAACATAAAAATTTAGGACAAACTATTACTATCAGAAGACAAGAAATAAAGGCATAACTAATAAATATGCTGATATACTCTGATAGACTAAGACAATTAAATGATAAAGAAAAATTAAGAGATATATCAGATGAAGTAAATTATAACTACCTCGCATTTTCTTCCTCTAATTTCGATAGAGCATTTCCAGGCTTTATAATTTTATACATATTGGGATACGTAACTACTTCTTTTCCTGTTTCTTTAACTATGGTTGTCTTTTTTGGATATAAATTGATAATTTCTTCTAGACTTCGATTGTTTTGCATCATGTAGCTAGCCAGGATTGATATAATCAAAGACGAATCACTCAATTTCTGGTCACCTTGTGCGATCACCGTAGGGAGCTGAACAAATACAATAATTAATTACATTTATTATGTAATACGTTAACTGTTTCATTAGAAACTGACAAAACTGAGCAAAAATAAGATACATAAAACAAATCTTCAAAAATCCACAAACCTTGGAAACACTGTCGAGTTTTTTTATTTCTTTTCGAGTCAGAGGACTAACTTCAACAATATCGTACGAAAAGCCATAATAATCCAAGAAAGCACGAACTTTGCAGCAAAATGGACAAGCTTCATACTGATAAAGTCTTAATTGCAGATTAGTCTCATCGTAATCGCTGACAACCTTAAATAAAATAACTAATAGAAAAGATTCTTAATTTTCTTATTCATACAATTTTAATAACAAAAACAGTGCATATCATGAGTCAATAAAGGTGAAAATAAAAAGCTTTTGAGTATAATTAGTAACATACACGTCTCGAAATGAGTGTCCCATCTGATGGATGAACAAGAGGCCCTTCTTCATGCCATTTATTGAACTTAGAAAAGTGTAAGGATCTGTCAGTGATAGATTTGTCTTCATAGTTCACAACTGACCCAGCCAAGGCAGTAGCAGTTACTACTATGTTTTTATTGCATCGTATAAACTTTTCCAGCAAACATCGACTCCACCACATGCTTCCAATGACATAATTAGATAGGTAGTAAATGAACATAGAACAACAGAAAGTTAAACCTTTTATCCACTCATTACTATTAATCTTAAATGAGATATGATCTAATATCTATTCAGCTCCTATCAAATATTCATGAAGATGGAGAAAAAAAGCAGCCAAGAGCAAAATGCATCGATATTACTTTGCAACTTAACATGAAGTATCGTTTTCATCAAAAATTGCAAAGTAGATACCGCAAACCACCAAGTAAAAGTTGCACAACACAATTCCAGTTTTATTTAAAACCAGTTCATTTGGTAAATAGCTTTACACGATAGTCTCTACAAGTGATGTTAACATAAGAAATGCATAAGGACTTCCTTGAGGTTATTCAATCAAACATTACTCATTAGCAAATGTAAACAACCAAACAAAAAAGTAAACTAAATCCACCCGAGCACTCCACTTCATTTACCCATGTCATGCGATTCCAACACTCAGCACTCTCAAAACCGCATGGCAAAAGAATTCTTCTATGCATACAACTTAAACAAACACTATCGAGTGAAACTGCGAGAACAATACCAGGATATCACGCTTCCCACTTGCCCACTAATCTTCCCACTTAAACCAAGTACAAATGTGCTCGTAAAAACTATAAAGCAGTCACAACTTAACCTATTCACGACTCTCATAGATAACCTATCTCTGTTTCAATTCATTATATAAAATTTAGCATATTTCATACAGAAATACATAGTCACAAGAGTAAAAATAAAGAGTGAAGAAATTTAATTCAAACTATATGCCCTCAGCATAAATATTCAGTCAAAGTATACCAGACAAGGAGTACTTGCTACAAGGATTTAATGCATCGCACTGTAACAAACATAGAAGATGGAAGAGAAATCTAAGCCAGTACTTCCAGCCTTGATAATAAATGCTATAAGTTCAAAAGACCTATAAGAATCCTTTAATAAGCATTTGTAGGAGATGGAAAGCGGAAACTTGACATTTCTATAAACGTAATTAACAGCAAAAAAAAGTCAATTTTATTTCATTCAACCACATATTTAAAAAATGCACACCTTAAGGACAGAGTCATCGTTTCACAATAACTGAAAATAACAGAAACATCAATAAGAAATTAATAAAGAGACAAATATAAAAATTTAGACGAGGTACAAATTGAAAACATTACATAGAAAACTCACGAGCAACTCTGCAGAATGAAAACAAAAATTTACAGTCCTCTAAAAACACAGTAAACTCACAATTACATGACAGTAATAAGAACAACAATAACAAAACCGGTATCAATTGAACGATATATTAAACAAATCGTAGACAATAAAATTAACTCAACTTTCCTATGAAGTAATTGTGTATTGTGAAATTTTCGATAACTGCAGACCAAAAAAAATAAAGTCCTCGCAACTCATAAATTAGCAATAACAACTTGTTTAAAAATTATACAACCAATAAAAGCGTCAGATTTCTGTTAACAAACAAATAATATCAAATCAGCGAAGCTGCCCAAAGTACAGATAATAATCAGCAATACTAATTATACAAACACTAATTATAGCAATAATAATGGCAATATTTAATGATAGTAATAATAACGTAATAATTAATAATAATAATAATGATAATAATAATAATAATAATAATAATAATAAGGATAATAAAAATAGTAATGATAATAATAACATGATAAGGATAATGAAAAGAATAGCAATGATAATAGTACAGCAGTGGTAAATCTAATTATATATATAATAATCGAAAACTAAAAGTTTGTTAAACTTCAAATATGAGCCTACTTCTTCCTTCTGAAAAACACTTCCGTGCCTTCTATGTCACTGTGAATAAATCTCCCTAGTAACTGCTTCGATTGCAGGAACAGACTTTCAAAATAAACTGTGAAGCAATTATTGACTAACTAAGCTACAAATTACAAAATATTCAGAATTCTAGAATGGGGATCCCAAATGGCTGACATGCAAACAACGACTGCAAATCAAAAGAAAACAAACAGCAGAGTGTAACAAAATATACAGCAATTCACTGACTTTAATGTATTACAAACATAAATGGTCCAATAGTAGCATAGAAAAACAAAATCTTTAGAGGCATTTTTACGATATAAATCTAAAAATAAGGGGGGTCAAAACCAGTACAATCTGCGCAAAGAATCTTCCATGTAACAAATACTCAATATCTGGAATTATAAACAATGTTTGACTGTTCCCACTTAATTTATTGCTACCGCGTTCGATGAAAAATCCGACTGTATTACTGGCAAACCACCACTCTGCTTTTGAAAATACTTTTCCAGTTTAGCTGTAATGAACACTGCTTAATTACTGTTCATAAATAAAATTTCGGATATCGATAAAAAAAGAATGTGAGAGACTCACTGATGATATGTTTTCCATAATTGTACTTTCTTAGTGCTGGAATATGTGGTTTGATCGCAAGCATCATTTTTTTTCGAAGAGCGCTATCAGCCACATCCAGCATCTTTTGTACAACATAATTAGCGAATTGATCCTTCATCATCATAAGAAGTGGTGTAGCAATACTGAAAAAAAACAACTAATAACTAAAAACATTTATCCACTTTAAACCTCAAGCAAAGACAAAATGAAGAGATGATTTCACTAGTATTTAACTTATTGCTTTTCATCCTATATACTCAAAAAAAGCTAATGACTTCAAAGATAGATACGCTTATCCATTGCACGATTAGAAGTGCCGGATTAAAAAAATGAAATAAAACAATAAATTTTGTCATCGCAAGTCAGCATTTTAAAAGAAAAAGACTAACTCGTTTGGATTACCGCATGCTTCTGTAATCAAGGCATTTTTATGATGCGGTTCACCACAAGTCAAACATTTCTCTATTACATTTGATGCAAACTTGTGCTGAGCAAAATGCAAGACATCACCCTAGAATGCACAAAATGAGTTACGCTACAGATTTCAATAAAATGACAGGAAAAAAATTCTTTTTTGACAAGAAAATAACAGACCATGCGAAATAATGTTCCTCAATTCAAGAAACCATATTCACAGTGAAAACACATTTTTGTGGGAATGAGAGCAAAGTAAAGAAAAGTCTTTGTAATAAATTAAAATTACAAATAAACACAACTCATAAGATTTCCTTGAAGGAGGTGAATGCCATATACATACACCATTTTCCCCTAACGGTAGCAAAAAAATGGATTACTAACCTTAACTTGGTTGACAATTCTATTACGATCTTCTAAGGAACCATGCTCAATAACATGCTGAATAACATAATTTCCGTACTGATCAACAATCAAATTCTTGACATGCTTGTGAAGCTGATCTAGTACGGGTCGCTTTTGTTCTTCTGTGCAATGTTCTAAAACACGTTGAATAACTCGACAGCCATAAGGATGCGTTGATAAGCTACAGACCTGTAAAAAAAATCTCTATTAAATTTTCAATAAACACTTGAGCAGGGAGACATGAATACACAAATGTAGCGAGAAATCTTAAAACCGCCGAAAATTTTACCGTCACATTATCTCCTGGAGGAACCAAAGCATCAATAATGAATTGCAATTTCGAAGGGTCGACGCGTTCAATAACTTTTTGCACTACATGATTACCATTTTGATCTTTTACACATTTTAGAACCTAGAACTGATATGTTTGCATATTACCCCACAAATTTCTTTAACCTCTCTAATTTAAAATAAACAAAGATCTTACGACTTTAATAGAAAGCACGAGTGACAGATTTTGGAAACAAAATATTCAACCCCATAGCAAGAATTAGCTCAAGACAAATCATCTCAAATACATAACAATAAATTAAATTTACCTGTCCTTCCATTTCTTTCAAAATCTCCATCTGCTGGTCTGGTTCAATGCTCTCTAGAGCTTTCTGAATAACTCTACATCCATACATTTGCAGTGCCAACGACATAACATTGCCCTTTAAAATCAATGAACAAATTAGTAAGCAAAGTCATGAACAACAAACTGCAACTACAAGTTTTAAACAAATCATGTCAATTTTCCCGTCCTACCACTAGAAATAAAACACTGCTTTCAATAGTAAAGCTAGCGAACTATGTACCTTCACAGCATCTGTAAGGACATTCTTTTGTTCCGGTGTTCCATACTCAAAAAATTTTTGTATTACATAATTCCCAAATACATCGGTCATCAACGATTGCGCATGTAACGCTACTTCGTCAAATATCAGTTGCTTTTCTTTAAGTGATGCTCGTTCCAGCTTCTGCTGAATGAATCTAAAAATTTTTCCTCAGCTTTTTCATTTACCCGTTATGACAAAAAATTATTACTTAAATAATGATTAAATAGCACTACCTCGAGCCATGCTGATCTTGGGCGAACTCCAGAACATGTTTACCAATTTCAGATAACTGCAAATGAGGATTACGATTGTTTCTAAAATCATCCAACAAATGTGACCGCACCGGCTTTTCATTTTCACTTGGAACATATGCTGAAACCATTATTTTAAGCAGCAGAAAATGACTTTTACATACATGCCATGAATCTTCAAAACAATACGAACTTGGGATTGATCACTCAACAAATGAGAATAATTAAACTCAAAACAAATTCCTGACATCAATTTGGAAGCCATCACATACTTATCATAAAATTCCTGAGTAAAGAGTGTAATCTATTTTAAATACAAAATTCGAGCTTTCAAAATAGCCTAAGACTTATTAACAATGGGATTCTACATCCCCCATAATTCATAACCAAACAATCTGCTAGATTGAAAATACCCATTGAAATAATACATGCTGAACTATAAAATGTAGTTAATAGACAATTCAGACCTCGATCTGAAGCCGAACAGCCAGCATTGTTCCGTCGACTGCTGTTGTTATGAACTGCAACACTATAGGGAACTTGCGAAATGGCGTTCTGCTGAGCTGCATAAATAGGACGAGGTGCAGGGGACGACTGAATATGAGTACTTGTTGAAGAACCTGGGAATACAGATGAAGAATTGTAAGCAGTAGGGAAGGCATTACCTAGAAAAATGAGTAAAATTTAATCAAAATCAATGTAAGTCATCATGAATAAAATCGTGAATTTACAATGACCTCTTGTAATACCATCAATACAAAATAAAAGCTCTTCAACACATACTGTACAGCTTCGTAAATGAGACAGTCAATGAAGTCCCCACCATTATTAAGGAATAATTTAGGCAAAACCCAACACATACAACATTTGAAGTAAAATCACATGACATAAGAATAAAGTAAACCAAAAAAATTGGGACTTGATCCCAGCGAACCAGCTGAAGGAGTTGGAGGAAAATTCATGAAGAGATACTGTTGCTGCGCCAGGTTGTAAGATGTTGTACCAATTTGTCCATTAGGATTGAATGTTTCAGTTCGAGTTGTTGGAGTTGAATGAGGGGGACCAATTGATAGATTTGCCAAATTCGAGGACAAATGATTAAGTGTTTGTTGAGAAGTATAACCCAGTGGAAAGTGAAAAGCACCTGGTGGTGAAGAAGAAAAGAGAGCAGATGTAGGTGGAGTTCCACGTGAGCCTAGATGCAAAGGGATTTGTATTCTTTAAGAATATGACGCAGCTCTTCACGAACTACATATAAAACCATTAATCCAGCTTGAATTCTTCTCAGTTACGTATTAAAATTTTAAGACACAAAAACCAATTTCACAATAATAAAAAATCAAAAATTAAAAAAAATTCTTGGAATTACATCTTCAAAATGTGCCTACCTCCAATATTTCCGTTTATGGTCAATAATGAATCCGATGCAGGTGGTAAAGTTGGAGTAGCACCACCATTGTATACAGCAGTAAATGAACCGTAGCCATATCCCGTGGGAGTCGTTCCAAATGGAGCTGCTGCTTGCACATTTCCCGAATAAACGACAGGATTCTGCTGCCCTTGCACCATATGAGGATACTAAAACTGGTTTAATGGTAAAATATAGCTCCCATTGTTTACAAAAATATCTGTAATTCACAGCTGATTATAAATAATGAAAAATATATCAAAAAAATGACTTCAAACAAATCTGAAAGGACCCAATTCTGCCTTTCACTCTCCTATGGCAGTCAAAGTGATAAGAATTATCTATATACCACATTGTATTAATGATAATAACATTTGATCAAATCTTACAGCACACTCTTCACTACCCAAGTGGTAGTATGCAGGACAAACGACGAAGACTGTATTTTGAGACGAAAACATAGAAAACTGAAGTTACATTTCGAGCCAAAAGGGATAAGTAGATGAAGAAATGATGATATTCCCGTCAGCAAAGGCAAATAAAATGACAGTTAGAAATTGTGCAACAGATTCACATCGATTGCAACGAAGTATGGCGGTGATGATGAGCAGGAAAAAGAAAAGACTAGGAGAAAGAATAAAAAAAATTTTTTTCGGTTCTAATGCCAAAATTAATAACAGCTGTCACAATACAACAGAATAGTCTCTGTACAGAGCATTCTCAAACAGATGAAAAATGTGTTTCACCACAGATATTTTCACATTTTTCTGCACTTGCAGAGAAAAAGATACGAAAAGTGAGACATAATTCATAAATGAAAATAAATATCGATTTTAGGACAAAACAACCAATGATCCAACAAACACCGAACTTTCACCTAATTTTCCCAGTGAGAGAGGGGACTTTTAAGAGGCATTAACTCGACGTTTTTAATACGTTCTCACAATATTTGAATTATGCTAAAGTTAGCAACTAATTCCTTCCACATTAAAGTCTGATTATCCTTTCGTAAAATTCTGTCCTACTAACTGATACTTTTCATGATGACATAACAGGCATTCCCGCACAAAACAAATGCAACACATCTCAATACAAACGAAAACAACAAAGATTTCCGTAATAAGAGTAAATTTAATGCTATCCTCATAGAATCAAATTAATTATAAGAAATTTAACGCAGTTCAAAATGGAATCAGAAAATCTTTCAAAAGCTTGTACAAAACAGAAAATTTACTTGAATTTCGGGAGTTGAACTCAGAGCAAGCGTATCACTTGGCAACTGAAAAGGAACATGCATGAATGGCGTTGAAATACTTGATTCCAGAGTATCGTTAGTCGATTTAATTGACTTATCATCACTTCGGTCAATCGTTTTCCCATCTTCCAACTTCACAGCACTAGCCTACAAAGCAAGGTGTAGTAGAAAACATCTAAACTTCCCGAATAAATACATTATTGTTCAGATACCTAATCTCTCTTTTCAAAGCACGCGATAGGTTCAAATCTTGAATAGTTGGAAACGAAAAGAGCAAAATGAGAAAAAAAACATACATAAGAATGGTTAACAAATTTTGTATCAGTAGCAAGACTTCCAGGAGACGAACCCAACACATTGGCAATCATTTGAGTGCAAAGCGAATTTTCCCGCGGTGAAGTTACAGACCCAGTGATTCCAGCTCCACCGGTTCCTTGCACCATTATTGGATTACTAACGGCATGTTCTAAAGATTTTTTATCCCTTTAAAACTAACAAATTGAACACTTAATTAATAAATCAAATTTGGTTCTCAACCATGAAAACAATGCAACGGTCTGTACACTTGCATCTCGACTGTGCATGCGTGAAATACAAATATAGTTAAGCATTCTGCAGCTCAATTTATTTTAGAAATTCTATCTGGAAGATCATGATATGGCTTTTAATGTCAAGTCAACAGTCTTAATCTTTAAAAGGTGATAACTTGAAATGAATTGTAAGAGCACCACAGTATGAATATTATATGCTTCTAGCTTCATCTGCTGGTTTTACCAGCAAAATTTACTTCATATTTTTCACCATTATTTTAGTAAAACACTATTTTGAAGAAATTTTTCAAGCATTGAGTGAATCTGGTCACAAAAGTCACAGCATATTTTTGGAAATATGAAACGCAAACACTATCTGAATAGAACTAATGCTATACTTTCTGGTATAAGTATGAAGAGTGAAACAGGATTAGAAAACTTTTGATGGTGAACAGATTTCTTACAGTCATATGAAAGTTTACGCTTTTTCTCTATTCGAAGACACATGCACAATTTAATATGCGCTAGTTAAAATTATGAAAATACGAGATAACCTGATCGCATGCTATTCCAAGAAGCAGAGTAATGATTTGACCACTGTTGTTCAGCCATTGCCATAATGTCCCTTTTCCTTTCAGGATATGAGAAATGTAATAAAAATAGAAAAGACTGTAAATACAAGGTGCAACGCAGATATAATACAGTTTCTGTACAATACCTGGAAACAATATATTCCAAAATCATGTGTAAATATTATGGAATACTACAAAAAGTAGTAAACGAGCATAAAATGCATAAAATATTGCAATTTGTCGATTAAGCACTTCATTCTAAGCTTAAAAATCAATATAAATATATACAAGACTTTGGCACCAAATACAAAATAGGATAAGAATGTTCCAGAAGAAAGTGAATCACAAAAACATAAAGCTTTCATAATGTGTCCACATATCCACCAAGATAAAACTTGTTTTTAACTACGATTTGCCGAGATTTTTATCGACTAAATAAGCATGCAATAAAAAAGTATTATAGCTTAAAATATGAATGATGAAGTGTATGTGACTACAAATAAATAACACATAATCGCTGTCTGACATAACAGACTCTTTAGTTATTTATCTGAGTGATAATATGCGCGCTTTTTTTTAACCAATGAATATGGCATGTATTTTTTCGGCACAAAGAAATGAAAGTAGTCTAGAATTCAGTCTTGAAATAACCACTGAGTAATAAATATATGATGAAAATACTCATGGCAACTAGCCATGAAATAGAGAAACATACAATTTTGTCCTGACTGGCACAATGCCAAAAAGTCGTGCCAAAAAGTCGAAAAGAGATCGAAGATCAAATGATGGCTGTTAAATATGGGCTGGAACTCATTACAAGCAAACTTAAGAAAAGGATTTCAACTTAAACATGATGGACATTTAAAACAAGAACTTTAATTAGTGAGATCCGTGGAACAGCTGCTCCTGACCATGTCTGGGGCTCTGCCGCATCATAAAATTGGTATTCCGAGCACTGTGACTAATAGAATGCAAATAAAAGAGCATAATTTATTTGGAGCAGATGTCAAGTTTAAGAAATGAATATCAGCAAATGATCAAACAACAATATCCACACACAATAATAATATGCATTCTTGCGTTGTCTTAGATTTTAGATCCTTCATTAAATGATTTATGAAAGAGTGTGGTTCTGAGTTCAAAACAAGACAAGTAGCAACACTATGTTAAACTATTCGGAATTATTACGCTATACAAAAATGACGCATGACATTCTCTGGTTCCTATATGATCATAGGACAAGTCTTCGTCAAAGCTCCAGCACGTATTTTCGAGCTACCGGAACCACACTGTCTTGAAGAGAAGCTACACTGTCATGGAGAGAAATAGAGTGTATCAGTTAAGAAGATTGAAAATGATGTTATGATCTAGACTACAGCACAGATCACGTTCTCATGTACTTCTATAACTCATTTATGAGTGCATGTTATTAACAATCATGAGTCTTTGCGACCGAGAAGTAGAAGTAAACTGCGATAGACGCAAATGATAGCATGAGAAGCAATAAAATCCCATGAGAAATTCGCAATAATAAGACGGCGGCTAGAGGCGATGACTAATTTTGTAGTAGGAGCTGTTGATCTCGTAGTCGCAGGATTTAAAAAACTCATTGCAATATTGGAAAAAGGCAGAGGTACGAAGACAAAATCTTCATAATCTACGGTAATTTTCACTCACATATCGATGAAGAAAATATGTGGAAAAGTTAAATTATTAATAAATACGCTTAATGCACTAATAATGTTGTGATGAAAATGCTACAAACCCCACGCTACGCTATTGCATTGTTCCAACTTCAAAAGTGAGACAAATTCCGATCGATACCATACTTCAACACAGAGACACTCGTAAAATCTAATGAAAGAACGTGTAAGAATAAGCTTTCCCACTACTAACTGCGACTAGACTCATTCTGCAATGCTATACTTCACCACCTCACCCACTAGACTAGCAATGCTACTATAGATCGATTGTAGTAGGCTAGACTATTGCGCATGCAAGGTCACAGAGGATGTATAGCCAATGAACAATTTTCAAGCATACAACTCACCAGACTAAATTCTAAATCACGCAAATATTACAAGATTAACCTACACTACAAGAACTTTCCAACTCAATAAACTAGCCTTTGACCCAATGCATAAATTGAAATTACTGTAAGAAAAATCAAAGCACATATATAACGCAGCCGTTGCAAAGTGAGGAAAGAGCGACCGCATCGCGAGAACCGCTACTATTACTCACTTCCACTACTACCACTGCCACTGCCTCTGCCTATACTACTATCACCATTACTACTACTACTACTACTCCTACTACTACTGATACTACTACTACTACTAACTACTACTACGGCAACTATCTCTACTGCTACTATCACTGCGATTAATATCACACTACTACTGCAACTATTGATACACTACTAATAATATTACTACTACCATTATCATTATCATCACCAGGAGGAGGGATTACTATTACTATAATCTGACTACTATCTATGAGCACTGCAATTGCCAAGAACACGCCTTCTATGCTATCACTCGCTCGTTACCCTCTCGTCTTACCTTTGGCGCCATGTGGTAAGCAGTGCCTCGCTCGCACTCACTCATGCTGATGCTACTTCACTTCACAACACTACTAACCTAATCGATAAATAAGCACCACTCTCTCCTACACATCGCACCACACGCCACATCCACATGACATTCAAAAATTGCCAACTTACGAAAGCTCACTCACTCCCTCACATCAACCCTTCCTCTTAGGACTACCTCCGCAACTCTTGCAGCACTCCATCCAGTATAGTAACCAACACGACGACCCACCCTACACCCTACACCCTACACCTTACTATCATTCTCCCACGCATCTCAAGTAACTAATGCCTCTCATAAATTATATTCCTGTCAGTTATTTTAGGGACAGTTTGCTAAAATAGCCCTCTACATATAATAACAAATAAGACAATAATAATGCAAAGATACGTACACATCAAATGATCTTGTAATAAAATGCGATCAAAACTTGTAATTCAGAGTAATTATCGCATCACAAACAAGGCATAACTTTTGAGACAAACTCGTTTCGTCATTCACGCGCGCCAAAATAAGTATACTAAAGACTATCATTTTCCTATAATGAATATAAGAATTGAATGACGACCAGAATTTTTGTCTTTATTACTTTTAAAATACTGGCTACTGCTAGTCTAAAATCTAGTAAATTGACTTATGATATAACTCAATACTGTATGGAGCATTATGAAATATTTTTTGGGTGAATGAATATTGTTCAGAAAAAATATAGAAAAACCTATACCCTCAGAGTACATCACCAACTCCTGAACCTTTTTTAGAAAATAAAAATGTACTAAAAAGTCATAAACGATACAGTTGAATTATGCTTAAGCACGTATTTTGTTGCATGTTTAACTAACTATACTTTCTCAGTGAGAAGTTAAAACTCACGCTTAATGACTTACGTGACTTACTGCATTACTTTACCTTCCTTACTCGTCCCTATTACGCACTTTCATACTGCAACATAAGAAACCTGGCAATATGCCCAGTGCAATTACTACGTCAGACTGAATTCACAGTGGTGGCATCTCGCTGAGACACTTTTGTATTATTGCTAATTGTGAAAAAAATTGTCCCAACCTCTTTTTTCTATTATCATTTGAGTACTATTCTGTCGATATTCTGGACGTGTACGTGTACGTGGAAGAACAGCTTATTTATAGCAATTTTAACAAATTATCAATACTTGAAGTGAATATTTACTTCAAATTGTTATCTGCGTTTATAAATCCTTACTGATTAATCTTTGTCTCATTTTGTTCTTGCAAAGTTGCACACAATTGTATTAAACATTTGAAGACTTTTGTTTTTCTTTACTTGCAAAAATTGTATTAATATCTGACTAGCAGTTAGACTAGTATATAATTAAAACTAGTTTATTCTCTGCAAACTATTTGCAAACTTCTATAGGTCATTTGTGCTCAAATCATTGAACAACTGCTATGCATTACTTGATAATTTCTAGGCACCAATTCAGCAAACAAAAAAAGTAGCAAAATTGTAGCAGTAGAAATACTACGGATATAGTTTGAAATTGCTAGAGATATAAATGCTTCGCACTTCTTTAAGAGCTAGACTAGTCTATATTGTTCTAGAAACAAATCATGCTGGGCATAAATCTTGTGCAATTTGTTTTTTGTTGCTTCGTATTATTTAATTTTTTTTTTCTGCTTATTATTTGGAACTGATTTTGTTATAACTATGCACGAAAACATGCACGTATATAAGGGTAAATATGAAAAAAGCGATTTTAAATATGTGAGGAGTATTTCAAAGCGTTCAACGTATCCACTTTGACGTAAATCTGGATTTCAGTGCTTGTGGTAGCTAATAATCATATGATGAGGTGTCGATATGATGTTTTCTCAAAGTAAGTATATCAATTATTGGCATTAGCATCTTCAATACTGCTAATAATTTGATGTGGTAATAATCGCGATACTTACTTATTATCAATATTAGTCTTTAATTTCTCTCCCTAATTGTAATTGTAATAATTTCAAAATTGACTTATACTCTACGCTAGAATTTGTAGTTACCTTGTTAAATTTATGCTTCATATGGCTAAATACGTGAATAAAGTTAGCTACGATGACTTGATCTTAAACTTAATCGAAAATTTTTTAAACTTAAATGCCTTGCAAGAAATGTTCATTCTCAAAACAACGCCATACTTATTACTACACAAAGAACTCACTTGAATTCTAAAGACTTCAAGCAGACAATTTCTAATTTGACATCTAATCGTTAATACTTTTACTTTACAAAAATTTTTATTTGACCTTTTCAAAATTTTGCTGTCAAATATTTTGATAAAAATTGTAATAAATAGCAGTTACACTTTTGCAATTATACAGAAATTTTTTGAAAAAAAAAAGGAAAGAAACAGAAATGAAGCACTGTGAACAATGAACAATTGAGGTGTGGACACAAAATACTAACTAATTGTATTTGTGAAACAAAAAGCAATCAAAGTTGAAAAGTATTAATGACAGATTAAAAGAAAGTAAGTGCACAGTTAACTTCAGAATCATGCAAAAGGTGTCATAGAATTGATCAAGTTGAAATTAAGCGTCAATTTGTACTTTGACGGAATAATAATGGCTGGAAGTGGGATGATGCAAGATTGAAGGCTTTTGTGAACTGACTATTTCTGATTATATTGGTGTATTGTTTAGAAAAATTGGAATAAACCATTTTAGTTCTTAGACTATACGTCGTAACTTGATAGACTGAAGCACTGAAGTCACAAGATTGCATGCAGTTTGATTTATGATCAAATCTGACAAAAGTGAGTAATGAGGAAAGTAGCATTTCCGTGCTTGTTCTAATAAGTTTGACTCGAAATAATTTTAACAAAATGCAAGAAAATATTCAAATTTGTTAAGCATGAAGAAAGAGCTGTAACCAAAGTTTTTGTGGAGGGAAAGAAGAATTACAGTTTCAGGCAACAAAACAGTTAACTGATCTACCTTAACTTAATCTACCTTTCAGTAGAAAATTAAGGTAGATTAAGCACTCCTTTTCTAGCAATGAACACAACATAATCTAATTATGAAAATTACGTACTCATAAAGAGTAATTTACAATATGTGATTACTTTAATACGTGCTACAATGACATTTTTGAACATATAGTATGACTTACGTCTCACACGCTTACATATCACGCATATTTATGCTTGTATTTTAATTTTCATGAAATTGATATGTGAAGCACATTTGTAGTAATTTGTATTAATAAACTTTTACAAGAAATATTAAAACTTTTTGTTACAAGTTGTAGTATGAATATATTTTTTAACTTATTATAATGTCGAAAATTTTTTTGTGATATTTTTGTGGCAAATTTTTATGAATCATTCAAACAATCTGAAATTATGCTTAATCAATGATAGCTTTAATTTTTATATTGATAATTTTAAGTGTACGTGTTTGTTTTTGATCCCTAAATGGCTGTAAAAGTTTGTTTTAAAATTAAGAAGTTTTTTTCGCCGTTAATTTTTCTTTTCATCGCAGAAAAATAGGTCCATTTTCATTTATTACTTTCTTATCAAAAGCTTAGAAACTCAATCAGTTCTCTGATAAGCTTTGCTATCAGTGCAAGCAGAATGTTGCAAGACGGACATGTGATCATTTAATCAAATTAAACAAGTAAAAGTTGTAATCATGGTTATATATGAAAAAGTAAGCATTCAACTAATTTTTTCAACATATTTCAAATTTGAATTTTATTACAAGTAACAGAAAGCAAAAAAAGATCATTATTCATGAGTGAGCAAATTTACCTTATAGCAAGCTCAAGTATTATTAAACAACAATAATATGTCATAATTAATTAATTAATTAATTAATTGTATTACATTATTTTTTGTTATGCGTTATACAAATACTTGAAATTAATAACTTATTATCAATCAAGTTATGCGTTTGTGCTGCGTTTACAAAAATATTTGTTGGCATTTATATTTGATCACTTCAAATAATCATTAACTCAAAAAATTATTACTTAAAAAGTTGGTAAAAATATGTAATATGAATCAAATAATTCTTTGATGCCTTCAAGCAACTTGCAAAAACTTTTTATCACATTATTTTATTTATAAATTCATATTAAATACAGTTTTATATGAATTTATAAATAAAATAATGAATATTTGAAATGTTATTTTATTGCCTGTGATTGTGAAGAAAGGCTTTAGATTAGCAATGAACAGATTATTCTCATAGATAATACGTTTATTAGTAAGTATTATCTTTATTAATTTGCAAAAAAAATTATTAAAAAATTTATATTACAAAATTTTTTAATAATTTTATTTGCAAATTTGATTGAAAAGCTAATCTCATAATATAAATTTTTATTGTTTTGACTTAGCTTACTTTAAGTAATTGAACGAATATTGAGAAGGTATCGAATAATTTAGACTTTTACAGTTCAATTAATTCTAGGTCAAATTTTTGAAAAAATGTAGGCGTTGACGATTGTAGTATATTTATGGTAAACAGTACGAAAAAATATTGAAATGATAAAAAGATAAAGGGATTAATTAACTGATATTTTTCCAACATTTGCAACGAATTTTTTATTATTGTCATTTAAATCTACCAAGTTAGTTTATAGCTAGTTAATTAGTCAGTTAGTTGGTTAGTTAGTTGGTCAGTTAGTTAATTGTTAGTTTTATCTTGTTTTACTTTCACTTATTAAAACATTTTAAGGCACTATAATTGATAATAATGAATAAGATGTTCTTATTATTTAATTAGTGCAAGCATCAAATGATTCTCGAGAAATATTTGCAGAATCAGTTTACTGCAGGATAAAATATTTTGAAATGTATTACAACTTTGACAATTTATAATTTATTTTTTACTTTATCAATAAAAGTGATTTAAGTCTAGCTACTAATCTTATAAATTTCAGTTTATTTTTATTCGTCTCATACAGTTCAACTATGGAAACAAATTTATGGCTATTTCCTTAATGCGAATCTAATTATCTGCTACCTTAATCTAATCTAGCAGTTACTTAGTTTAGATTTTTTCAGAAATGCATATAGCTTTTTGAAGAAGGAAATTAGTCCATTTTATGCTCAAATATTACTCTATTGTAATTAAGATAATCGAATAAAGCACAGTATAACGTTTTAATTAAAATGATTAAAAATTCAAACTTTTGTCTAAGTAAGTCTTTAATGAAAATGATTACTTTTGCAGTTCTGATAGAATATAAAGTTAAAAAATTATCTAAGAAAATTTTATAAAAAATAAGTTCATGACATAAAATTGCGTATTGTAAATACAAAAATGCTTACAATAGAATGCATATTTTTGTTGGATTACAAAAAGTACTTCAAATTTGTTTATTCAAATAATCAGAAAAGTTCTATTTGCAGTCTTTCTTATGTCATTAAAATTGATGCTTTAAATTTTGTCAAATAAGAAAAACTGTGCACTTGAAAGATTTAGTTTTTATTTTATTTATCGTACTATTGTAATTCTAACTATATTTTTGATTTTTTAAAAATTTTAAGCCTCACGTGACACCAATTTTTAATATGTGTCACGTGAAGTTTTTGAATGTGTTTAGTTCTAGTGCTCATTAACTTTGTTACTTTTAATATTCTAATACTTATTAAATATAAATTTAATAATAAACACATATTAAATTTTCAAAAGCAATGATCAAAACATTTTTCAAACTATTAAAATTTAAGCAAAAAAGTAAGGCTGTCAAAGGCGTAAAAGCGTGT